CGGCTGTACAACACACTGAAATCCGGGAGATCTTCGGCTTCCTTGCCAGTTGATTCGTCGGGTCGGCCTTTAACAGACCAGCCTGCGTGATACAAGGGAGAAGGGAGACAAGGCACGGGGGATCGAAGTGGAAAGGGAAGAAAAAGGGACGGAGAATGAGAATGGGAAGGAAACTTGGGGCTGGGCTGGTCTTCTGCGGCCTGTACGACGCGTTGAACTCGGGAAAACTTGGGCCTCCTTGCCGGTTTCCTCATCTGGGTCCGGCCTTGAGAGAGCCGCCTGGAAGGGAGAGAGGAGGGATGGAAGATGGATCATGGAAGGGACAGGGAGGAGAGAGAGCCAAAGAGACGTGCAAGCTGGCGATATTGGGAGACGCGGAAACGGGAAGGAAACGGGAATTTAGGAGCCAACGACTAGCCCAACCGGTATGCATATGACACAAGAGTCGGCCTATTAGCTCTTCGGAAGCATGTGGCATGGTGCGGGCACATGCAAGTTGGGCTACCGGCCTACCACCAGCCATGCACAGGTGAGAGAGTTGGCCTACCAGCATGCGGATAAAGGTGGTTTCGCCGGTGCCATTCTCCCCAGCATCACCACGATCTGCGAGTCTGTGCCTTGCGTCCACTGCCATCCCTACCTATGGTGCACACATGTGCCTACCAGCATGCGCACCCATGAGAGACAGCTTCCCTACCAGCATGCGGATAAAGGTGGTCTTGCCGGTGCCGTTTCCCCCAGCATCACCACGATCTGTGAGTCCGTGAAGTCACCAGGTTCCACCGTCAGCTTGAATCCGCCCTGCTTCTTGACCATGCGCGGGTACTTGTAGCGCGTGTACGTCTTGGCCTCTTCAGGGTTATCGACTGGGGTTTCAGCAACCTGAGATGGAATGGAGAGGGGGGGGAGGGAAGGAGGGGCTTGAACCCGCCCTGCTTCTTGACCATGCGCGGGTACTTGTAGCGCGTGTACGTCTTGGCTTCTTCAGGATTATCCACCGGGGTTTCAGCCACCTGATGGGAGCAATGATGGGTTGAGATGGGTCAGAAATAAGGGTAATTTAGCTGCAAAGCTTGAACCCGCCCTGCTTCTTGATCATGCGCGGGTACTTGTACCGCGTGTACGTCTTGGCCTCTTCAGGATTATCCACCGGGGTTTCAGCCACCTGAGATGGAATGAAGGGGGGTGAAAGAATGGAGTGAGGGAGGGGAAGGAGGAGGTTGAACCCGCCGTGCTTCTTGATCATGCCCAAATACCTGTACCGAACCGACTGTACGTCTTGGCCTCCCTCCTCAGGATTATCCACCAGGGTTTTCGTCCCCTGATGGGAGGGGGAAAGGAGAAGAGGCACGGGCGGAGGAGAGGAGTGGAGGGGAGGAAAGGAGTGCTTTGAGGAACCTGAGACAGCACACAGAGAGCTTCAACACGCCCTGCTTCTTGATCATGCGTGGGTACTTGTACCAAGTATATGTCTTGGCCTCGTCCGTTTCTTCCAACTTTGAAAATGAATGAGCTTTTCGTCTCAAAAATGTGGGTCTGACTTCTGAGTCGACTTTTGTGTCTTAAGTCGGCTCAAAAGATGAAAAAAAAATATGCTCATGCCCTATCTAACGAAGTTGGAAACTGAGGCAAGGAAGAAACATCCATTCACAAAGAGGAGCGACAGACAAGCAGACCCACACGGAAGGTGAGCGACTCGTCTTGAAAACGCAGGTTTCCAGCTGGTATGAAGCCGGCAAGAAAGATGTTCATTCCCTCGAGCACAGAGAAACACAAAATTCCCCTCTTTCAAGTCAACACCTAAAGCAGACTCACCCTGAAGGTGAGCGGCTCGTCTCGGAAGCGCAGGTTCTCGGTCAGAACAAAGCCGGCAAGGAAGATGTTGATGCCCCCTCGCACTGCTGATTGAATTCTAAAGGTGTGCCTGCAATATGAAAATTTTGATGTCCCGACGGACACGGTGACACCCTCACGGCAGACTCACCCTGAATGTGAGCGACTCGTCTCGGAAGCGCAGGTTCTCGGTTGGCACGAAGCCAGCCAGGAAGATGTTGATGCCCTCTCGCACGGAGAAGGGCAGCGTGACCACCGTAGGCACGGGCTTGCCGTAGAGGCAGCAGATGAAGTCCGAGAGATAGTCGAGCACACTGAGATCGTGCTCCACCACAATGACGTATCTGGGGGGGATGGGGATGATGGAATGGGGAGTGAGTGGGCAGGGCAGTGGGTGCATGGGGTGATAGCGCAGAAAAACCGCCCTGTATGCCCCTGGCTTGCCGTAGAGGCAGCACATGAAGTGGGAGAGATAGTCGAGCACACTCAGGTCACGCTCCACCACAATCACGTATCTGGAACGGTGGGGGATGCATGGAGGAATGGGGGAATGAAAGGGAGCAAGGGAAAGGGCAGTGGTGTAACAATATCGTACCACTGGTTTCATATTCCTATTCGATGTTCAAGTATTTTAGCACTAATGGATTTGGTTCAACTAGCTTGTTATTCGGTTACATATTGACTCCCTTCGAGGGGTTCAAGAACTTACTAAGGGAGTCAATATGTAACCGAATGACCAGCTATTTGAATCAAATCCAACAGTGTTTAAATACTTGAGCATTGAATAGGAATATGAAACAAATGACCAGCTATGACCAGCTATTTGAATCCCTCTTTCCCTTGCTCTATCCACCAACCATTGATCGCACCTGTTCGGACCACTGACCATACCTGTCGGGGCGCAGCAGCGAGCGGATGACCTGCGCTGCCTTCAATCGCTGCCGCACGTCCAGGTAGCTGGAAGGCTCATCGAACATGTAGATGTCTCCCAGCTGCCCCGCCACCACTCCAATGGCAAACCGCTGCAGCTCGCCTCCTGACAGATGCTCCACCTCACGCTCCCACACCTGAAAGGAGTGGTGAATCGGGATGAGGATAGGTGATTAGGTGGGGAAGAGGAGAGGGCTCATCGAACATGTAGATGTCTGTCTCCCAGCTGCCCCCCCACCACTCCAACGGCAAAGCGCTGCAGCTCTCCTCCGGACACGTGCTCCACCTCACGCTCCCACACCTGGACGAGGGAAGGGGAAAAGGGAGGAAGGCGAAGAGGAAGGAATTAGACGGGGGAAGTGCAACCAGATGGGGGTGTGCAAGACTAGCTCGTTGGCCCTGATGGCAAACCGATCAATGTTTTTCCCCCTACCGCCTCTTTATGCACCCACCCTTCTCTGTGAGCACCACGCCCACCACCCCTTCACCGAAGAGCAAACAAGGGGTACTATAACGCAGAGCGTGGACAATAAAGAGAGTGACAATAGCGAGAGGGGAGATGAAACCCCCCATGACCCCCCCAAGGCCCCCCTAAGGCCCCCCTACCCCCCAATCCTCCTCACAGCCCCCACCCCGCCCCCCAAAAATCCTGGCATGGGCATGGCCCCCCATCCTGGCATGGGCATGGTCCCCCCCTATCCCTACAGTAACGGGCGGCGGCAGCAACAGTAACCGGGTGGCAGCAACAGTAACGGGTGGCAGCAACAGTAACGGGCGCGGCACACAGCACAGTGTCTGGGCGGCAGCAACAGTGTCTGGGCGGCAGCAACAGTGTCTGGGCGGCAGCAAACAGTGTCTGGGCGGCAGCAACAGTGTCTGGGCGGCAGCAACAGTGTCTGGGCGGCAGCAACAGTGTCTGGGCGGCAGCAAGCAACAGTCTGGGCGGCAACAACAGTGTCTGGGCGGCAACAACAGTGTCTGGGCGGCAACAACAGTGTCTGGGCGGCACCAACAGTGTCTGGGCGGCAGCAACAGTGTCTGGATGGCAGCAACAGTGTCTGGATGGCAGCAACAGTCTGGGCGGCAGCAACAGTACCTGGGCGGCAGCAACAGTACCTGGGCGGCAGCAAGCAACAGTGTATGGACGGAATCAACAGTGTCTGGGGAGCATCAACAGCATCTGGGCGGTAGCAACAGTGTCTGGGCGGCAGCAACAGTAAGGGGGCGGCTGGAACAGTAACCGGGCGGCAGGCTGCTGGAACAGGGGCCAGGCTGAAACCCCGTGGGCCCGAGCTCCCCACCCCAGGCCCGGCCAAACCAGACCAGGCCAGGGCATGGCTATATAGTAGGCATGCCCATACATACAAGCACACATATCAAGTCCTACAATCCTAGCTACACAGACAGATTCTACCACTGAAATTAGTTAAGCAGTTATCATGCGTGCTAGAACATCATAAGCGTAATAAATGAAGGCATGGCAAGGCTATAGGTTTGTGGCATGAGCAGGGTGTGGTTTGAACGCACGTGCAGAGAGTGAAAGCATGTGGAGGAGGGACGGCAAGGGAGGGGGGGGGGGGAGAGATGCCACGAGTGAGGAGTGGCAGCTTCTCACCTGGCTGGCTGTTTTGGGCAATGAGTGAGTGGGGGGAGGGAGCATAGCAAGTGAGTGCGGGGAGCATGGCGAGCAAGCGGGGATGGCAGAGGGGTGAACAGAGGGAACAGAGGGAACAAAAGGTGGGTGAACAGTGGGGAAAAACCGTGGTGTGAACAACGGGGGACGGAGAAACAGTGGTGTGAACATTTCGGGACGGGGAAACAATGGCGTGAACAGTGGGGGACGGGGAAACAATGGCATGAACAGTGGGGGACGGGGGGGGAAACGGTGGTGTGTGTGAAAAGTGGAGTGCAGGGGAGCAGAGGTGAGTGCAGGGGAGCAGAGGTGAGTGCAGGGGAGCAGAGGTGAGTGCAGGGGAGCAGAGGTGAGCGCAGGGGAGCAGAGGTGAGCGCAGGGAGCAGAGGTGAGCGCAGGGGAGCAGAGGTGAGCGCAGGGGAGCAGAGGTGAGCGCAGGGGAGCAGAGGTGACCGCAGGGGAGCAGAGGTGAGCGCAAGTGGAGGAAGAGATGAGTGCAGGGGAGCAGAGGTGAGCGCAGGGGAGCAGAGGTGAGCGCAGGGGAGCAGAGGTGAGCGCAGGGGAGCAGAGGTGAGCGCAGGGGAGCAGAGGTGAGCGCAGGGGAGCAGAGGTGAGCGCAGGGGAGCAGAGGTGAGCGCAGGGGAGCAGAGATGAGTGCTGGGGAGCAGTGGGGAAAGGTGAATAAAGGGGAGCGGTGGTGGGGGAAGGTGAAGAGTGGTGATAAGTGGGGGGGGATGGTGAGTGTGGGGAGCAGAGGTGGTGAGTGTGGAGGCAATCTCCCTCGCCTCCCTCCCTCTCACCACGCAACGCAACGCAAGCAACGTACCTTGCGCACTGCAACGCAACGCAAGCAACGTACCTTGCGCACTGCAACGCAACGCAAGCAGCGTACCTTGCGCACTGCACTGGCCGAGCCTCATCCAGACCAGAGCCGAGCCGAACCTCGTCCGACGTCGAGGCCAAGTCCGGCAGACCTCAGCCACCTCTGGGGTGGGAGGGTGGAGGGTGAGAGAGGCGGTGATTGGGGGGGAAGAGGAGGCGAGGGGGGATTAAGGAGGTCAGGGGGGGAGGGCATAACGAGTGCACATCTCAAGCGCGTTTACGAGGTGAGTACGTACGGGGGACAGGGGAGGGTGAGAAGAGGGGTGGACAGGAGGTGAGAAGAGAGGACGAGAGGAGGTGAGTACGGGGGACGGACGAGGCGAGGAGAGGGCAGTACAGGAGGTAACGACGCCTCGTTAAACAGTGGGGGGGGGGGGGGGGGGGGGGATGCCACGAGTGAGGAGTGGCAGCTTCTCACCTGGCTGGATGTTTCGGGCAATGAGTGAGTGGGGGGAGGGGAGGGAGCATAGCAAGTGAGTGCGGGGAGCATGGCGAGCAAGCGGGGGATGGCAGAGGGGTGAACAGAGGGAACAGAGGGAACAAAAGGTGGGTGAACAGTGGGGAAAAAAACCGTGGTGTGAACAACGGGGGACGGAGAAACAGTGGTGTGAACATTTGGGGACGGGGAAACAATGGCGTGAACAGTGGGGGACGGGGAAACAATGGCGTGAACAGTGGGGGACGGGGAAACGGTGGTGTGAAAAGTGGGTGAACAGTAAAGGTGAGTGCAGGGGAGCAGAGGTGAGTGCAGGGGAGCAGAGGTGAGTGCAGAGGGAGCAGAGGTGAGTGCAGGGGAGCAGAGGTGAGCGCAGGGGAGCAGAGGTGAGCGCAGGGGAGCAGAGGTGAGCGCAGGGGAGCAGAGGTGAGCGCAGGGGAGCAGAGGTGAGCGCAGGGGAGCAGAGATGAGTGCTGGGGAGCAGTGGGGAAAGGTGAATAAAGGGGAGCGGTGGTGGGGGAAGGTGAAGAGTGGTGATAAGTGGGGGGGATGGTGAGTGTGGGGAGCAGAGGTGGTGAGTGTGGAGGCAATCTCCCTCGCCTCCCTCCCTCTCACCACGCAACGCAACGCAAGCAACGTACCTTGCGCACTGCAACGCAACGCAAGCAACGTACCTTGCGCACTGCACTGGCCGAGCCTCATCCAGACCAGAGCCGAGCCGAACCTCGTCCGACGTCGAGGCCAAGTCCGGCAGACCTCAGCCACCTCTGGGGTGGGAGGGTGGAGGGTGAGAGAGGCGGTGATTGGGGGGGGGAAGAGGAGGCGAGGGGGGATTAAGGAGGTCAGGGGGGGAGGGCATAACGAGGGCACAAAACAAGCGCGTTTAGGAGGTGAGTACGGGGGACAGGGGAGGTGAGAAGAGAGGACGAGAGGAGATGAGTACGGGGGGACGGACGAGGTGAGGAGAGGGGAGTACAGGAGGTGATGACGCCTCGTCATGGTCTCACCTCGTGCCTCTCTCCTCGCCGCGCCGTTGCCCACCTGCCCCGCCACGTGGCCATCCGTGATTGGCTGAGAGGCGGGGCGGCGGCGCCACGGTCATACGTTCTTCGTACAACTGGAGGGGGGGGATGGGGAAGAGGGGCACGGAGCTTGGGGGGGCAACTGGAGGGGGGTTCCACCAGCGCGCGACGCGCCGTTCTCCGCAGGGTTAAGGTTGACCGCGGGAAACGGCGGGAAACCGGCAGAAAAGGGCGGGAATCAGGAAAGAAGCAACACGCCGCGCCTGCAGCGCGGAACGCGCACATTGCGCCACATGCAGCGCGGAACGAGCACATTGCGCCGCCTGCAGCGCGGAACGCGCACATCGCCCCGCCTGCAGCGCGGAACGTGCACATTGCGCCGCCTGCAGCGCGGAACGAGCACATCGCGCCGCCTGCAGCGCGGAACGAGCATATCGCCCCGCCTGCAGCGCGGAACAAGCACATTGCCCCGCCTGCAGCGCGGAACAAGCACATCTCCCCGCCTGCAGCGCGGAACGCGCACATCGCCCCGCCTGCAGCACGGAACGAGCACATCGCCCCGCCTGCAGCGCGGAACGCGCACATCGCCCCGCCTGCAGCGCGGAACGCGCACATCGCCCCGCCTGCAGCGCGGAACGCGCACATCGCCCCGCCTGCAGCGCGGAACGCGCACATTGCGCCGCCTGCAGCGCGGAACGCGCACATCGCCCCGCCTGCAGCGCGGAACGAGCACATTGCGCCGCCTGCAGCGCGGAACGAGCAGGAAACGGAGGGGATCAAGTTGACCGAGGAAGACGGCGGGAAACGGCGGGAAGGAAAACCATGGGAAACCATGGGCAAGAGCGGGAAGCGGCGGGAAAAGGCTGGAAAAGAAGGGAATCAGCGCGGAAAGGGCACTAAGCCGTGCATGGGGCGCGGAGAAAAGGCAACTCGCCACGCCTGCAGCGAGGAAATGCACTTCGCCGTGCCTGCAGCGCTGAAAAAAGCAACTCGCCGCGCCTGCAGCGCGGAAGACGCACTTGGCCACGCCTCTCAGCTGGCAGTGCCGAGCCTCTCACCAGGCAGTGCCGAGCCTCTCATGGCGCGCGATCCGCCGCCTACCACGTGGCGCGCGATCCGCCGCCTGGTGATGCCGCTGCCTGGTGGGAGAGGTAGGTAAGTGGGAGAGGTAAGTGCTGATCTGATAGGAACATTTGCCGTCAAATATAAAACAAAGAAAGAAGAACAACATAACAGAAATGATAGGACGAGCAAAGCTGAACACAAAAGGAGGCAGTGAAGCAGGAAGCACCCGCTACGAGTTAAGAAGTCCAAGGCGCCTGGTGAGAGTGTTGAGCGGGAAACGGCGGGAAAAGGCAGGAGGCAGAACATGGAGAGGAGAGGAAGGGCCGGGGAAGAGGGAAACTTTAGCTAAAAATATAATCTCACCGTGTTAATATAAATATAAATCGCATCTAAACAACCGGAGCATCTGCTGGAACGCGGAATAACTCTCACGGGGGCCTAAGCTGCTGCGCCCACCATTCCGTCAGCGGCGTGACATCGGCCATCTGCTGCCGCGGCGCGCCATTCCGCCATCTGCTGCGCGCGCCAATTCGCCTGCTGCTGCGCGCGCCATTCTCCCTGCTGCTGAACGATTTATGACTAAGAGAAACAAAAATAAAAATGCTAAGAGAATGCTACTAAGAGCATTTAGAGGAATGACTATAGAACGCTACTACTAGTGAAACCGTCCAGTGAGAGCGACGCTGGGAGAAGAAGAGCAGTCGAGAGAAAGAGGAGGAGGTTAACAATGGGAGAGTTGAAGCGTTGAAAAACATCTGCTGCTGCGGTGAGAGAAGAAACGCGTCTTTGCACTACAGGACAATATCACGACCGTTCGACGGTGAGGTCCAACCGAGCCACCTCGCGCGCACGCGCTTTCGCTCCGCGCAGCGACCCGTGTGACATGACATCGCATGCTGCAGATTTAACGGACATCTAACGCTATATCTGCAAATGAGAAAAAGCGCGGGGCGAATAAACGAAAGCACCGCGCAGGGAGCAGCGCGAGGCGCGCATGACGACGACAATTTAACGGGCGCGAAGCGTGCAAGGCGCGCGAACAAACACTGGACTGAGACCTTACTAATGCGAATGACACGGCAGCGGATTAGGTGGTTGTGAGCTAACTGAGAAGGGCGAGGCGAGGAATGCGAGAGAATCGAGTTTGGTGCGGAGAGGAGAGGTGGATGAGATTGAAACCCACCCTCCCACAAAATGTTTTGTAACAAGGAGGGCAGAGAGAAACAAAAGGGAAAGCTAACTCCACACCCTAATCTGAAAATGGAAGAGAGTCAACTGAGTGGATCCGATTTACACGTACAAATGTACGGGCGGAATAAAAAAACGAAAAAAAAAAATGTTGTAAGACGATGCGCGTCACATTCGCCACTCACAGCACAAACGGATGTTCCTATCTGATTGTTACTGTGGTTTGAGGCGCGAGTCGACTTGCAGCCTCCGCAGTTGTGCAGCTACACCTCCAGAGTACTAAGTAATATCTCCTACATGAACATGTTCGCACTTATCAAGTACATTTGAAAAAACAAAAAGGCATTGGCTCATAATAAGGAAATGTTTACAAGATAAGGTTTATAACATATGCACATGGGCTAATTAAATGGATATTATAGGGCCGTATTATTTTCTTTCCTCGTTGAAGCGAAGCGTCTCCATATGTCGTTATAAAACGAACTAACGTCACAGGCAACAAAAAAGGTGCGCGTAATTACTTCAAATATAAGGACGACGATGACAAGTACGGGAACAACAACGAGGACGCGGAGGAGGAGGAGGAGGAGGAGGAGGAGGAGGAGGAGGAGGAGGAGGAGGAGGAGGAGGAGGAGGAGGAGGAGGAGGAGGAGGAGGAGGAGGAGGAGGAGGAGGAGGAGGAGGAGGAGGATGCGGAGGAGGAGGAGCAGGAGCAGGAGCGGGAGTAGGTGCAGGAGGAGGAGCAGGAGGAGGGGAGGAGGAGGAAACATCAGTGGGAGTACTAGCGGCAAACGGCAGCAGTGCGCAATAGCCTTACCATCAAGCAGCACTAGGAAACGCTAGCGGCGAACAGTAGCTGTGCGCAACAGCCTCACCATTGAGCAGCAACATAAAATGTTCAGCAGAAGTATGAAACACCACCACGAGCACAAACAACGAACGGTAGTAGTGAGCATCCGCCTCACCATCGAGCAGCAATGGAAAATGTTCAATAGCAGTAGGAAACAACAAGAGTACCACAAGCTTGAACGGTAGTTTTGAGAATCTGGCTTGCAATTGAGCAGCAACAGGAAATGTTCAACAGCAGTAGAAAAAAACAGCACGAGCAAAAGAAGGGAACGATAGTAGTGAGCATCCGCCTCACCATCGAGCAGCAGCTGAAAATGCAGTAGTAGTGAGCATTCGCCTCACCATCGAGTAGCATCACCATCGAGCAGCAACAGAACAGGGGTGACAACGACCAGGAGGGCGACGACAACGAGGCGGAGGAGGACAAGGAGGAGGAGGAGGAGGAGGAGGAGGAGGAGGAGGAGGAGGAGGAGGAGGAGGAGGAGGAGGAGGAGGAGAGGAGGAGGAGGAGGAGGAAGACGACGAGGACCAGGACGAAGAGCAGGAGCAGGAGCAGGGGCAGGAGGAGGAGGAGGAGGAGGAGGAGGAGGAGGAGGAGGAGGAGGAGGAGGAGGAGGAGGAGGAGGAGGAGGAGGAGGAGGACAAGGAGCAGGAGGAGGAGGAGGAGGAGGAGGAGGAGGAGGAGGAGGAGGAGGAGGAGGAGGAGGAGGAGGAGGAGGACAAGGAGGAGGACGAGGAGGAGGAGGAGGGCGACGAGAAAGAAAGAACGACAACGAGGAGGAGGAGGAAGACGAGGAGGAGGAGGAGAACGAGGAGGAGGAGGAAGACGAGGAGGAGGAGGAGGAGGAGGAGGAGGAGGAGGAGGAGGAGGAGGAGGAGGAGGAGGAGGAGGAGGGAGGAGAACGAGGAGGACGAGGAGGAGGAGGAGAAGGAGGAGTAGGAGAGGAAGACGAGAAGGAGGAGGAGGAAGAGGAGGAGGAGGAGGAGGAGGAGGAGGAGGAGGAGGAGGAGGAGGAGGAGGAGGAGGAGGAGGAGGAGGAGGAGGAGGAAACACCAGTATGAGCACAAACAGCAAACAGTTGTACTTAGCATCCGCCTCACAATCGAGCAGCAACAAAAAATACTCAGCAGCAGTATGAAAACACCATCACGAGCACAAGCAGCAAACGGTAGTAGTGAGCATCCGCCTCACCATCAAGCAACAACAGATAATATCCAGCAGCAGTAGGAAACACCAGCACGAGCCAAAGCAGCGAACTAGTAGTAGTGAGAAACCACCTCACCATCGAGCAGCAACTGAAGATGTTCAGCAGCCGTAGGAAACACAAGCACGAGCACAAGTAGCGAAAGGTAGTAGTCAGCATCCGCCTCACCATCGAGAAGCAACGGAAAATGTTCAGCAGCAGTAGAAAACACCAGCACGAACACAAGCAGCGAACGATAGTAGTGAGCATCCGCCCTCACCATCGAGCACCAGCTGAAAATGCAGTAGTAGTGAGCATTCGCTCTCACCATCGAGCAGCAACGGAAAATGCTAAACAGCACTAGGAAACACCAGCACGAGCAGAAGTAGCGAACGACAGTAGTGAGCATTCGCCTCACCATCGAGCAGCAACGGAAAATGCTCAGCAGCACTAGGATACACCAGCACGAGCACAAGGAGCGAACGGCAACAGTGAGCATTCGCCTCACCATCGAGCAGCAATATAAATGTTCAGCAGTGATAAGAAGCAACCGGACCAGCACAAGCAGCGAATGGTAGTAGTGAGCATCTGCCTCGCATCGAGCAGCAACAGAACAGGTGTGACAAGGATGGTGAAGGTGACAACGACGAGGAGGAAGAGGGCAGGGAGGAGGAAGACGACGACGAGGAGGACCAGGACGAGGAGCTGGGAGCAGGAGCTGGAGCAGGAGCAGGAGCAGGAGGAGAAGGAGGAAGAGGAGGAGGAAGAGGAGGAGGAGGAGGAGGAGGAGGAGGAGGAGGAGGAGGAGGAGGGAGGAGGAGGAGAGGAGGAGGAGGAGGAGGAGGAAAAGGAGGAGGAGGAGGAGGAGGAGGAAGAGGAGGAGGAGGACGAGGATGAGGAGGAGACGAGGAGGAGGAGGAGGAGGAGGAGTAGGAGTAGGAGGAGAAGGAGGAGGAGGAGGAGGAGGAGGAGGAGGAGGAGGAGGAGGAGGAGGAGGAGGAGGAGGAGGAGGAGGAGGAGGAGGAGGAGGAGGGCGACGAGAAAGAAGTCGACGACGATGAGGTGGAGGAAGACGAGGAGGAGAGGAGAACGAGGAGTAGGAGGAGGAAGACGAGAAGGAGGAGGAGGAAGAGGAGGAGGAGGAGGAGGAGGAGGAGGAGGAGGAGGAGGAGGAGGAGGAGGAGGAGGAGGAGGAGGAGGAGGAGGAGGAAACACCAGTATGAGCACAAACAGCAAACAGTTGTACTAGCATCCGCCTCACAATCGAGCAGCAACAGAAAATACTCAGCAGCAGTATGAAACACCAGCACGAGCACAAAGCAGCGAACTGTAGTAGTGAGAAACCACCTCACCATCGAGCAGCAACTGAAGATGTTCAGCAGCCGTAGGAAACACCAGCACGAGCACAAGCAGCGAAAGGTAGTAGTCAGCATCCGCCTCACCATCGAGAAGCAACGGAAAATGTTCAGCAGCAGTAGAAAACATCAGCACGAAAACAAGCAGCGAACGATAGTAGTGAGCATCCGCCTCACCATCGAGCAGCAGCTGAAAATGCAGTAGTAGTGAGCATTCGCCTCACCATCGAGCAGCAACGGAAAATGCTAAACAGCACTAGGAAACACCAGCACGAGCAGAAGTAGCGAAGGGCAGTAGTGAGCATTCGCCTCACCATCGAGCAGCAACGGAAAATGCTCAGCAGCACTAGGATACACCAGCACGAGCAGCAATATAAAATGTTCAGCATCGATAAGAAGCAACCGGACCAGCACAAGCAGCGAATGGTAGTAGTGAGCATCTGCCTCGCCATCGAGCAGCAACAGAACAGGTGTGACAAGGACGGGGAAGGCGACGACGACGAGGAGGAAGAGGGCAGGGAGGAGGAAGACGACGACGAGGAGGACCAGGACGAGGAGCTGGAGCAGGAGCAGGAGCAGGAGGAGAAGGAGGAGGAGGAGGAGGAGGAGGAGGAGGAGGAGGAGGAGGAGGAGGAGGAGGAGGAGGAGGAGGAGGAGGAGGAGGAGGAGGACGACGACGACGACGACGACCATGACGACAACGACGAGGAGGAGAAGGTACGAGGAGGACGAGGAGGATGAGGAGGAGGAGGAGGAGGAGGAGGAGAGAGGAGGAGGAGGAGGAGGAGGAAACCCAGCATGAGCACAAGCAGCAAATAGTAGTACTGAGCATCCGCCTCACAATCGAGAAGCAACAGAAAACACTCAGCAACAGTAGGAAACACCAGTACAAGCACAAGCAGCGAACGGTAGTAGTGAGTAGTCGCTTCACCATCGAGGAGCAACAGGAAATACTTAGTAGCAGTAGGCAACACTAGCACGAGCACAAGCAGCGGACGGTAGTACGTGAACATCCGCCTCACCATCAAGCAGCAACAGAAAGTATTCAGCAGCAGTAGGAAACACCAGCACGAGCACAAGCAGTGAACAGTAGTAGTGTGCATTCGCCTCACCATCGAGCAACAATATAAAATATCCAGCAGTAGTGGAAACACCATCACGAGCACAAGCAGCAAACGGTAGTAGTGAGCATCCGCCTCACCATCAAGCAACAACAGATAATATCCAGCAGCAGTAGGAAACACCAGCACGAGCACAAGCAGCGAACTGTAATAGTGAGAATCCGCCTCACCATCGAGCAGCAACTGAAGATGTTCAGCAGCCGTAGGAAACACCAGCACGAGCACAAGCAGCGAAAGGTAGTAGTCAGCATCCGCCTCACCATCGAGAAGCAACGGGAAATGTTCAGCAGCAGTAGAAAACACCAGCACGAACACAAGCAGCGAAAGATAGTAGTGAGCATCCGCCTAACCATCGAGCAGCAGCTGAAAATGCAGTAGTAGTGAGCATTCGCCTCACCATCGAGCAGCAACGGAAAATGCTAAATAGCACTAGGAAACACCAGCACGAGCAGAAGTAGCGAACAACAGTAGTGAGCATTCGCCTCACCATCGAAGCAGCAACGGAAAATGCTCAGCAGCACTAGGATACACCAGCACGAGCACAAGGAGCGAACGGCAGCAGTGAGTATTCGCCTCACCATCGAGCAGCAATATAAAATGTTCAGCAGCGATAAGAAGCAACCGGACCAGCACAAGCAGCGAATGGTAGTAGTGAGCATCTGCCTCGCCATCGAGCAGCAACAGAACAGGTTGTGACAAGGACGGGGAAGGCGACGAAGACGAGGAGGAGGAGGGCAGGGAGGAGGAAGACGACGACGACGAGGACCAGGACGAGGAGCAGGAGCAGGAGCAGGAGCAGGAGCAGGAGCAGGAGGAGAAGGAGGAAGAGGAGGAGGAAGAGGAGGAGGAGGTGGAGGAGGAGGAGGAGGAGGAGGAGGAGGGAGGAGGAGGAGGAGGAAAAGGAGGAGGAGGAGGAGGAAGAGGAGGAGGAGGAGAGGACGAGGATGAGGAGGAAGACGAGGGAGGAGGAGGAGGAGGAGGAGGAGGAGGAGGAGGAGGAGGAGGAGGGAGGAGGAGGAGGAGGAGGAGGAGGAGGAGGAGGAGGAGGAGGAGGAGGACCATGACGACGACGAGGAGGAGAAAGACGAGGAGGACGAGGAGGAAGAGGAGGAGGAGGAGGAGGAGGAGGAGGAGGAGGAGGAGAGGAGGAGGAGGGAGGAGGAGGAGGAGGGGAGGAGGAGGAGGAGAAGAGGAGGTAGGAGGAGGAGAGGAAACGGAGGAGGAGGAGGAGGAGGAACTGTACTGTATGGTTTGTCCACTCGCTCAGTTTTTGTTGGCAGAGTGGTTCGGGAGCGGCAGTGCGTGGTGCTGGGCCGTTGTGTGTGGTCATTGGTGGGTGTTGAGTGCCCGTAAGTGGTGACGAGCGGTGACGAGTGGTGATGAACGGTGTAGTCTGTCTACGGTGTGACGTTGATGTCCGTCTCCCGCCTCTCGACTACTGCAAACAAGGATGCCTTGAGCATCATGGAAACGGTTGTGAGGACTGTACAAACACTGGTGGTTGTGCTTGTCTAGTGATTCTTAACCATTTGTGTCATCCCAACGATCAAGATAGGTTCAACGTGTTTCATTTCTTCGCATAGCATCCTCTTGTATCACTTTACCGTACATTGTGCAAAAATTCTGGAGACAAAGCATTCTGAACTTCAGCAGCAGCACAAACAATGACATCGGCAGCAACAGCAGGGCAGCAGTAGCAAGCAGCAACAGCAGAGCAGCAGAAAGCAGTGACGGCAGCAGCAGTAGCAAGCAGTGACGGCAGCAGCAGGAGCAAGCAAGCATTGACAGCAGCAGCAGGAGCAAGCAAGCCAGTGACTGCAGCAGCAGAGTAAGCAAGCAGTGACGGCAGCAGCAGGAGTAAGCAAGCAGTGACGGCAGCAGCAGGAGCAAGCAAGCAGTGACGGCAGCAGCAGGAGTAAGCAAGCAGTGACAGCAGCAGCAGGAGCAAGCAAGCAGTGACGGCAGCAGCAGGAGTAAGCAAGCAGGTGACGGCAGCAGCAGGAGTAAGCAAGCAGTGACGGCAGCAGCAGGAGCAAGCAAGCAGTGACGGCAGCAGCAGGAGTAAGCAAGCAGTGACGGCAGCAGCAGGAGTAAGCAAGCAAGTGACGGCAGCAGCAGTAGCAAGCAAGCAGTGTCGGCAGCAGCAGTAGCAAGCAAGCAGTGACGGCAGTAGCAGGAGCAAGCTAGCAGGGTTTAAAGGTGTATAGCGACTGGCCGACTTTCCCGCAGTTGTATTGCAAGGGGGAGTTGGTTGGGGGGTGTGATATTGTGCTGCAGATGCACGAGAGTGGGGAGTTGAAAGAGGTGTTTGCAGAGAAAGGGGTGCTGGGAGGGGCGGGGAAGGGAGATGCACCAGGAGCAGTGACGGCAGCAGCAGCAGCGGCGGATGGGCAGGTTGATGGGGCGAAGGGGTTGCAAGAGCGGCTGAAGGCACTCCTCTCGTCTTCGCCTACCATGCTGTTCATGAAGGTATGTTGGAGTAGAGTGGGTTGGGGCGTATGTGATAATCTGTATCGTCCTGCCTTAGCTAATAAAGATGATTGAAGGCACTCGTCTCGTCTTCGCCTTCCTCTCATCCCTTCCTCTCATCCCTTCCTCTCATCCCTTCCTCTCATCCCTTTCTCTCATCCCTTCCTCTCATCCCTTCCTCTCATCCCGTCCTCTCTGCTGCGTTACCTCTCAGGGAACACCGGAGGAGCCGCGGTGTGGGTTCAGCCGCAAGGTGGTGGATGCAGTCCAGTCAGACATGGACTCATCGCATGTTTCCTTCCTTCTTCCCCATGGCTTGTCCTCACGGCCTTGCCTTGCTTTCCCAGGGCACACCAGAGGAGCCGCGGTGTGGGTTCAGCCGCAAGGTGGTGGATGCACTCACGTCAGAAGGTATTTCCTTTGGCAGTTTTGACATTCTCACGGACGAGGCAGTGCGGCAGGGGCTGAACACATGCCTTTACACCCCCCCAACCCCCCTTCCCCTGCCTTCCTGTGCTATGTACCCATGACCATCCCCATCCCTTGTTATTCAGGGAACACCGCAGGAGCCCCGGTGTGGGTTCAGCCGCAAGGTGGTGGATGCAGTCAAGTCAGACATGGACTCATCGCATGTTTCCCCCCCCTCTTCCCCCCTTCTTCCCCCCTCTTCCCCCCTTCTTCCCCCCCTCTTCCCCCCCTCTTCCCCATGGCTTGTCCTCACGGCCTTGCCTTGCTTTCCCAGGGCACACCTGAGGAGCCGCGGTGTGGGTTCAGCCGCAAGGTGGTGGATGCACTTACGTCAGAAGGCATTTCCTTTGGCAGTTTTGACATTCTCACGGATGAAGCAGTGAGGCAGGGGCTGAAGGAGCTCTCCAATTGGCCCACGTACCCCCAGGTGTACCACAAGGGCGAGCTGATTGGTGGATGCGATATTGTGCTTGAAATGAAGGCTAATGGGGAGCTTAAAGCCGAGCTTGGAGGGTGAAGTTCACTGTACTGTGTAGCTAAATCATTTTCATATACCCGGTAGCACCAAGGTAGAGCTGATTGGCATCTGTTTTATAACCAAACAATGTGCCCATCTTTTGTGTCACTCGCAAGTCCGATATGCCACTTTTTCCTCCAAGCTCCAACAGCAACAGATGCTACTACAGCCTGAAAATCATGCTCCAACAACTTCATTTGTTATCCTGCAGCAATGAATTGGCGCAGACGACTCTCAAGGTCAGGTCAAAAGTCAGCTGGTACGGCCAGTCCTACCATTATGCAAACACTCGTCAGAGACACGACAGCTAGAGTCCTGCGAACCAACGCTCACGTAAAGCACAATGCCTAACACAATCGTCCTAAATACGCTTAGCATGTGAGCGTTGCTTTCAAAAAGTTAACTCCCATGACTGTACCCTCCAGCACAGTTGTCGATCGCATACGGATGCCATGGGTGGGGTAGGGTCTAGGGATGGATGGCAAGTTGGCAATGGCCAATGCCGATCACTCATCGAGGTACGGTAGTGTAGGTGCCACTGCTAGCAGACTTGTGCTCCCATCCCATGAGTGCACCCTTTCATGGGCATGCCAAAACGGCCAATGCCATGCCCGCACTCAGTCGTCCAGGTAGTAGTAGGTGCCGGCATTCTTCTGCTCGCGGTCCTTGACAGAATCCATCTTGTTGATGCGCGGCCGAAAGTTGGTGGGGTCGCGCCGGAACGTGATGTCCAGTTGCTGGGGGGGGGAGGGTGGTGTTGGTTGGGGGTGGGAGGAAACGATGGTTGTGAGGGGCACGGTAGCGAGAAGAGGTGAAAACGGGAGGGAGAAAGGGGTTCCATGAGTGCACCCTACAAGCGCACAGCTCCCTTGGCATGCCGGAAGAGGTTCATGCCGCTGTTGAGCGACTTGAGGAGTGCAAGCCGTGCAATCCACGGACGGCTGCCCTCGTAGACAATCACGCGGTCCGCCAGGTACGTGGCCATGATGAAGTCGTGCTCCACCACAAAGGGGGGTTCTCACTCACACAGCAAGCAACAAGGGGTCTCTCACCGAGAGGAAGAGGTTCATGCCGCTGTTGAGCGACTGGGGCGTGCGCGCCGTGCAGTCCACCGACGGCTGCCCCTCGTACACGATGACGCGGTCCGCCAGGTACGTGGCCATGATGAAGTCGTGCTCCACCACAAACGCCGTCTTCTTGGCGTGCAGGATGAAGCGCTTGATCACCTTGGCCGCCACAATGCGCTGCTCTGAATCCAAGTAGGCTGAGGGTTCATCAATCAGGTAGATGTCGGCAGGCTGGGAGGAAAGGGGGTGTGGGGGGTTGGAAGTGGAAGTGGAATGTTAAAGGGAGGGGAGGGATGAACGGCTTGATCACCTTGGCTGCCACGATGCGCTGCTCCGAATCCAGATAGGCCGAGGGCTCGTCTATGAGGTAGATGTCGGCAGGCTGGGAGGAGAGAGAAGAAGGAACGCATGTGCAGGATGAACGGCTTGATGACCTTGACCGTCACGATGCGCTGCTCTTGAGTCGAGATAGGCCGAGGGTTCATCGATCAGATAGATGTCGGCAGGCTGGAGAAAGGAGAAAGTGGAAGAGGGGGAGAAAGGGAAAAAAGGGAAGGATGAACCGCTTGATGACCGTGGCTGCCACAATGCACTGCTCTTGAGTCGAGATAGGCCGATGGATCGTCAATGAGGTAGATGCCACCAAGGCAGAGGGAAATAGCGACGCACCTTCCCAAAGCAGAGGGAAATAGCCACGCACCTTCCCTAGGCAGAGGGAAATAGCCAAGCACCTTCCCAAGGCAGAGGGAAATAGCCACGCACCTTCCCAAGGCAGAGGGAAATAGCCACGCACTTTCCCAAAACAGAGTAATATAGCCACGCACCTTCCCAAGGCAGAGGGGAATAGCCACGCACCTTCCAAGGCAGAGGGAAATAGCCACGCACCTTCCAAGGCAGAGGGAAATAGCCACGCACCTTCCCAAAGCGGAGGGAAATAGCCACGCACCTTCCCAAGGCAGAGGGAAATAGCCACGCACCTTCCCAAGGCAGAGGGAAATAGCCACGCACCTTCCCAAGGCATAGCGAAATAGCCACGCACCTTCCCAAAACAGAGGGAAATAGCGACGCACCTTCCCAAGGCAGAGGGAAATAGCCACGCGCTGCAGCTCTCCTCCTGACAAATTCACCACCTCCTGGTCGAGCAGGGGGTCGATCTGCATGAGACAACTTCTGAGCCGCCCCAAAACCGTCCCAAAACCGCCCCAAAACCACCCCAAAACCGCCCCCAAACCACCCCAAAACCGCCCCAAAACCGCCTCAGACCACCTTAAAATCCCAAGAGGGACTTGATGCACCCCTTCCTTACCTTGCCAAGGCACAGCGTGATGGCCACGCGCTGCAGCTCCCCCTCCTGAGATTTTCACCACCTCCTGGTCGAGCAGGGGGTCGATCTGCATGGGGCAACTTCTGAGCCGCCCCAGAACCGCCCCAAACCACCTTGAACCGCCGCAGTCTCCAAGAGAGAGTTGACCAACCCACCCACTCCTTCCTTACCTTTCCCAGACAAAGGGTAATAGCCACGCGCTGCAGCTCCCCACCCGACAAATTCACCACCTCCTGGTCCAGGAGCGGGTCGATCTGCATGGGGCGCAGCACGTCGGTGTTGAACTGCTGGGTGGTGGAACGAGTCTCGGATCTTGGAGTGCAGCAGCGCGCGCACGCTGTGGGGGAACTTGGGGGAGATCTTCTGCGGCTTGTACGACACGTTGAACTCCGGGAGGTCCTCGGCCTCCTTGCCGGTCTCCTCGTCCGGGTCAGCCTTTAAGAGACCAGCCTGTAAGGGGTTGAGAAGGACACAGGAGAGCGGAAAGGAGAGGAACGAGAGGGTATGAGAGGGGGAACTTGCGGCTGATCTTCTGCGGCTTGAACGACACGTTGAACTCCGGGAGGTCCTCAGCTTCTTTCCCGGTCTCCTCGTCTGGATCTGCCTTCAAGAGGCCGGCCTGGAGGGGTTCAGAACGAGACAGGAGAGGAGAGGGGAGGAGGGAGGAGAGTAACGCAGAAAACTTGGGGCTGGGCTGGTCTTCTGCGGCCTGTACAACACACTGAAATCCGGGAGATCTTCGGCTTCCTTGCCAGTTGATTCGTCCGGGTCGGCCTTTAACAGACCAGCCTGCGTGATATACAAGGGAGAAGGGAGACAAGGCACGGGGGATCGAAGTGGAAAGGGAAGAAAAAGGGACGGAGAATGAGAATGGGAAGGGAAACTTGGGGCTGGGCTGGTCTTCTGCGGCCTGTACGACGCGTTGAACTCGGGAAAACCTTGGGCCTCCTTGCCGGTTTCCTCATCTGGGTCCGGCCTTGAGAGAGCCGCCTGGAAGGGAGAGAGGAGGGATGGAAGATGGATCATGGAAGGGACAGGGAGGAGAGAGAGCCAAAGAGACGTGCAAGCTGGCGATATTGGGAGACGCGGAAACGGGAAGGAAACGGGAATTTAGGAGCCAACGACTAGCCCAACCGGTATGCATATGACACAAGAGTCGGCCTATTAGCTCTTCGGAAGCATGTGGCATGGTGCGGGCACATGCAAGTTGGGCTACCGGCCTACCACCAGCCATGCACAGGTGAGAGAGTTGGCCTACCAGCATGCGGATAAAGGTGGTTTCGCCGGTGCCATTCTCCCCCAGCATCACCACGATCTGCGAGTCTGTGCCTTGCGTCCACTGCCATCCCTACCTATGGTGCACACATGTGCCTACCAGCATGCGCACCCATGAGAGACAGCTTCCCTACCAGCATGCGGATAAAGGTGGTCTTGCCGGTGCCGTTCTCCCCCAGCATCACCACGATCTGTGAGTCCGTGAAGTCACCAGGTTCCACCGTCAGCTTGAATCCGCCCTGCTTCTTGACCATGCGCGGGTACTTGTAGCGCGTGTACGTCTTGGCCTCTTCAGGGTTATCGACTGGGGTTTCAGCAACCTGAGATGGAATGGAGAGGGGGGGAGGGGAAGGAGGGGCTTGAACCCGCCCTGCTTCTTGACCATGCGCGGGTACTTGTAGCGCGTGTACGTCTTGGCTTCTTCAGGATTATCCACCGGGGTTTCAGCCACCTGATGGGAGCAATGATGGGTTGAGATGGGTCAGAAATAAGGGTAATTTAGCTGCAAAGCTTGAACCCGCCCTGCTTCTTGATCATGCGCGGGTACTTGTACCGCGTGTACGTCTTGGCCTCTTCAGGATTATCCACCGGGGTTTCAGCCACCTGAGATGGAATGAAGGGGGGTGAAAGAATGGAGTGAGGGAGGGGAAGGAGGAGGTTGAACCCGCCGTGCTTCTTGATCATGCCCAAATACCTGTACCGAACCGACTGTACGTCTTGGCCTCCCTCCTCAGGATTATCCACCGGGGTTTTCGTCCCCTGATGAGAGGGGGAAAGGAGAAGAGGCACGGGCGGAGGAGAGGGAGTGGAGGGGAGGAAAGGAGTGCTTTGAGGAACCTGAGACAGCACACAGAGAGCTTCAACACGCCCTGCTTCTTGATCATGCGTGGGTACTTGTACCAAGTATATGTCTTGGCCTCGTCCGTTTCTTCCAACTCTGAAAATGAATGAGCTTTTCGTCTCAAAAATGTGGGTCTGACTTCTGAGTCGACTTTTGTGTCTTAAGTCGGCTCAAAAGATGAAAAAAAAATATGCTCATGCCCTATCTAACGAAGTTGGAAACTGAGGCAAGGAAGAAACATCCATTCACAAAGAGGAGCGACAGACAAGCAGACCCACACGGAAGGTGAGCGACTCGTCTTGAAAACGCAGGTTTCCAGCTGGTATGAAGCCGGCAAGAAAGATGTTCATTCCCTCGAGCACAGAGAAACACAAAATTCCCCTCTTTCAAGTCAACACCTAAAGCAGACTCACCCTGAAGGTGAGCGGCTCGTCTCGGAAGCGCAGGTTCTCGGTCAGAACAAAGCCGGCAAGGAAGATGTTGATGCCCCCTCGCACTGCTGATTGAATTCTAAAGGTGTGCCTGCAATATGAAAATTTTGATGTCCCGACGGACACGGTGACACCCTCACGGCAGACTCACCCTGAATGTGAGCGACTCGTCTCGGAAGCGCAGGTTCTCGGTTGGCACGAAGCCAGCCAGGAAGATGTTGATGCCCTCTCGCACGGAGAAGGGCAGCGTGACCACCCCGTAGGCACCGGGCTTGCCGTAGAGGCAGCAGATGAAGTCCGAGAGATAGTCGAAGCACACTGAGATCGTGCTCCACCACAATGACGTATCTGGGGGGGGATGGGGATGATGGAATGGGGAGTGAGTGGGCAGGGCAGTGGGTGCATGGGGTGATAGCGCAGAAAAACCGCCCTGTATGCCCCTGGCTTGCCGTAGAGGCAGCACATGAAGTGGGAGAGATAGTCGAGCACACTCAGGTCACGCTCCACCACAATCACGTATCTGGAACGGTGGGGGATGCATGGAGGAATGGGGGAATGAAAGGGAGCAAGGGAAAGGGCAGTGGTGTAACAATATCGTACCACTGGTTTCATATTCCTATTCGATGTTCAAGTATTTTAGCACTAATGGATTTGGTTCAACTAGCTTGTTATTCGGTTACATATTGACTCCCTTCGAGGGGTTCAAGAACTTACTAAGGGAGTCAATATGTAACCGAATGACCAGCTATTTGAATCAAATCCAACAGTGTTTAAATACTTGAGCATTGAATAGGAATATGAAACAAATGACCAGCTATGACCAGCTATTTGAATCCCTCTTTCCCTTGCTCTATCCACCAACCATTGATCGCACCTGTTCGGACCACTGACCATACCTGTCGGGGCGCAGCAGCGAGCGGATGACCTGCGCTGCCTTCAATCGCTGCCGCACGTCCAGGTAGCTGGAAGGCTCATCGAACATGTAGATGTCTCCCAGCTGCCCCGCCACCACTCCAATGGCAAACCGCTGCAGCTCGCCTCCTGACAGATGCTCCACCTCACGCTCCCACACCTGAAAGGAGTGGTGAATCGGGATGAGGATAGGTGATTAGGTGGGGAAGAGGAGAGGGCTCATCGAACATGTAGATGTCTGTCTCCCAGCTGCACCCCCACCACTCCAACTGGCAAAGCGCTGCAGCTCTCCTCCGGACACGTGCTCCACCTCACGCTCCCACACCTGGACGAGGGAAGGGGAAAAGGGAGGAAGGCGAAGAGGAAGGAATTAGACGGGGGAAGTGCAACCAGATGGGGGTGTGCAAGACTAGCTCGTTGGCCCTCATGGCAAACCGATCAATGTTTTTCCCCCTACCGCCTCTTTCTGCACACCCTTCTCTGTGAGCACCACACCCACCACCCCCTTCACCGAAGAGCAAACAAGGGGTACTATAACGCAGAGCGTGGACAATAAAGAGAGTGACAATAGCGAGAGGGGAGATGAAACCCCCCCATGACCCCCCCCAAGGCCCCCCTAAGGCCCCCCCTACCCCCCCAATCCTCCTCACAGCCCCCCAGCCCCGCCCCCCAAAATCCCTGGCATGGGCATGGTCCCCCCCCCCCCCCCCCCCCCCCCCCCCATCCTTGCATGGGCATGGTCCCCCCCTATCCCTACAGTAACCGGGCGGCAGCAACAGTAACCGGTGTGGCAGCAACAGTAACGGGTGGCAGCAACAGTAACCGGGCGCAGGCAGCAACAGTGTCTGGGCGGCAGCAACAGTGTCTGGGCGGGCCAGCAACAGTGTCTGGGCGGCAGCAACAGTGTCTGGGCGGCACAGCAACAGTGTCTGGGCGGCAGCAACAGTGTCTGGGCGGCAGCAACAGTGTCTGGGCGGCAACAACAGTGTCTGGGCGGCAACAACAGTGTCTGGGCGGCAACAACAGTGTCTGGGCGGCACCAACAGTGTCTGGGCGGCACCAACAGTGTCTGGGCGGCAGCAACAGTGTCTGGATGGCAGCAACAGTGTCTGGATGGCAGCAACAGTACCTGGGCTGGCAGCAACAGTACCTGGGCGGCAGCAAGCAGTACCTGGGCGGCAGCAACAGTGTATGGACGGAATCAACAGTGTCTGGGAGCATCAACAGCATCTGGGCGGTAGCAACAGTGTCTGGGCGGCAGCAACAGTAAGGGGGCGGCTGGAACAGTAACCGGGCGGCAGGCTGCTGGAACAGGGGCCAGGCTGAAACCCCGTGGGCCCGAGCTCCCCACCCCAGGCCCGGCCAAACCAGACCAGGCCAGGGCATGGCTATATAGTAGGCATGCCCATACATACAAGCACACATATCAAGTCCTACAATCCTAGCTACACAGACAGATTCTACCACTGAAATTAGTTAAGCAGTTATCATGCGTGCTAGAACATCATAAGCGTAATAAATGAAGGCATGGCAAGGCTATAGGTTTGTGGCATGAGCAGGGTGTGGTTTGAACGCACGTGCAGAGAGTGAAAGCATGTGGAGGAGGGACGGCAAGGGAGGGGGGGGGGGGGGGAGAGATGCCACGAGTGAGGAGTGGCAGCTTCTCACCTGGCTGGCTGTTTTGGGCAATGAGTGAGTGGGGGGAGGGAGCATAGCAAGTGAGTGCGGGGAGCATGGCGAGCAAGCGGGGATGGCAGAGGGGTGAACAGAGGGAACAGAGGGAACAAAAGGTGGGTGAACAGTGGGGAAAAAACCGTGGTGTGAACAACGGGGGACGGAGAAACAGTGGTGTGAACATTTCGGGACGGGGAAACAATGGCGTGAACAGTGGGGGACGGGGAAACAATGGCATGAACAGTGGGGGACGGGGAAACGGTGGTGTGAAAAGTGGGTGAACAGTAAAGGTGAGTGCAGGGGAGCAGAGGTGAGTGCAGGGGAGCAGAGGTGAGTGCAGGGGAGCAGAGGTGAGTGCAGGGGAGCAGAGGTGAGCGCAGGGGAGCAGAGGTGAGCGCAGGGGAGCAGAGGTGAGCGCAGGGGAGCAGAGGTGAGCGCAGGGGAGCAGAGGTGAGCGCAGGGGAGCAGAGGTGACCGCAGGGGAGCAGAGGTGAGCGCAGGGGAGCAGAGATGAGTGCAGGGGAGCAGAGGTGAGCGCAGGGGAGCAGAGGTGAGCGCAGGGGAGCAGAGGTGAGCGCAGGGGAGCAGAGGTGAGCGCAGGGGAGCAGAGGTGAGCGCAGGGGAGCAGAGGTGAGCGCAGGGGAGCAGAGGTGAGCGCAGGGGAGCAGAGATGAGTGCTGGGGAGCAGTGGGGAAAGGTGAATAAAGGGGAGCGGTGGTGGGGGAAGGTGAAGAGTGGTGATAAGTGGGGGGGGATGGTGAGTGTGGGGAGCAGAGGTGGTGAGTGTGGAGGCAATCTCCCTCGCCTCCCTCCCTCTCACCACGCAACGCAACGCAAGCAACGTACCTTGCGCACTGCAACGCAACGCAAGCAACGTACCTTGCGCACTGCAACGCAACGCAAGCAGCGTACCTTGCGCACTGCACTGGCCGAGCCTCATCCAGACCAGAGCCGAGCCGAACCTCGTCCGACGTCGAGGCCAAGTCCGGCAGACCTCAGCCACCTCTGGGGTGGGAGGGTGGAGGGTGAGAGAGGCGGTGATTGGGGGGGAAGAGGAGGCGAGGGGGGATTAAGGAGGTCAGGGGGGGAGGGCATAACGAGTGCACATCTCAAGCGCGTTTACGAGGTGAGTACGTACGGGGGACAGGGGAGGGTGAGAAGAGGGGTGGACAGGAGGTGAGAAGAGAGGACGAGAGGAGGTGAGTACGGGGGACGGACGAGGCGAGGAGAGGGCAGTACAGGAGGTAACGACGCCTCGTTAAACAGTGGGGGGGGGGGGGGGGGGGGGGGGGATGCCACGAGTGAGGAGTGGCAGCTTCTCACCTGGCTGGATGTTTCGGGCAATGAGTGAGTGGGGGGAGGGGAGGAGCATAGCAAGTGAGTGCGGGGAGCATGGCGAGCAAGCGGGGATGGCAGAGGGGTGAACAGAGGGAACAGAGGGAACAAAAGGTGGGTGAACAGTGGGGAAAAAACCGTGGTGTGAACAACGGGGGACGGAGAAACAGTGGTGTGAACATTTGGGGACGGGGAAACAATGGCGTGAACAGTGGGGGACGGGGAAACAATGGCGTGAACAGTGGGGGACGGGGAAACGGTGGTGTGAAAAGTGGGTGAACAGTAAAGGTGAGTGCAGGGGAGCAGAGGTGAGTGCAGGGGAGCAGAGGTGAGTGCAGGGGAGCAGAGGTGAGTGCAGGGGAGCAGAGGAGCAGAGGTGAGCGCAGGGGAGCAGAGGTGAGCGCAGGGGAGCAGAGGTGAGCGCAGGGGAGCAGAGGTGAGCGCAGGGGAGCAGAGATGAGTGCTGGGGAGCAGTGGGGAAAGGTGAATAAAGGGGAGCGGTGGTGGGGGAAGGTGAAGAGTGGTGATAAGTGGGGGGGGATGGTGAGTGTGGGGAGCAGAGGTGGTGAGTGTGGAGGCAATCTCCCTCGCCTCCCTCCCTCTCACCACGCAACGCAACGCAAGCAACGTACCTTGCGCACTGCAACGCAACGCAAGCAACGTACCTTGCGCACTGCACTGGCCGAGCCTCATCCAGACCAGAGCCGAGCCGAACCTCGTCCGACGTCGAGGCCAAGTCCGGCAGACCTCAGCCACCTCTGGGGTGGGAGGGTGGAGGGTGAGAGAGGCGGTGATTGGGGGGGGGAAGAGGAGGCGAGGGGGGATTAAGGAGGTCAGGGGGGGAGGGCATAACGAGGGCACAAAACAAGCGCGTTTAGGAGGTGAGTACGGGGGACAGGGGAGGTGAGAAGAGAGGACGAGAGGAGATGAGTACGGGGGGACGGACGAGGTGAGGAGAGGGGAGTACAGGAGGTGATGACGCCTCGTCATGGTCTCACCTCGTGCCTCTCTCCTCGCCGCGCCGTTGCCCACCTGCCCCGCCACGTGGCCATCCGTGATTGGCTGAGAGGCGGGCGGCGGCGCCACGGTCATACGTTCTTCGTACAACTGGAGGGGGGGGATGGGGAAGAGGGGCACGGAGCTTGGGGGGGCAACTGGAGGGGGGTTCCACCAGCGCGCGACGCGCCGTTCTCCGCAGGGTTAAGGTTGACCGCGGGAAACGGCGGGAAACCGGCAGAAAAGGGCGGGAATCAGGAAAGAAGCAACACGCCGCGCCTGCAGCGCGGAACGCGCACATTGCGCCACATGCAGCGCGGAACGAGCACATTGCGCCGCCTGCAGCGCGGAACGCGCACATCGCCCCGCCTGCAGCGCGGAACGTGCACATTGCGCCGCCTGCAGCGCGGAACGAGCACATCGCGCCGCCTGCAGCGCGGAACGAGCATATCGCCCCGCCTGCAGCGCGGAACAAGCACATTGCCCCGCCTGCAGCGCGGAACAAGCACATCTCCCCGCCTGCAGCGCGGAACGCGCACATCGCCCCGCCTGCAGCACGGAACGAGCACATCGCCCCGCCTGCAGCGCGGAACGCGCACATCGCCCCGCCTGCAGCGCGGAACGCGCACATCGCCCCGCCTGCAGCGCGGAACGCGCACATCGCCCCGCCTGCAGCGCGGAACGCGCACATTGCGCCGCCTGCAGCGCGGAACGCGCACATCGCCCCGCCTGCAGCGCGGAACGAGCACATTGCGCCGCCTGCAGCGCGGAACGAGCAGGAAACGGAGGGGATCAAGTTGACCGAGGAAGACGGCGGGAAACGGCGGGAAGGAAAACCATGGGAAACCATGGGCAAGAGCGGGAAGCGGCGGGAAAAGGCTGGAAAAGAAGGGAATCAGCGCGGAAAGGGCACTAAGCCGTGCATGGGGCGCGGAGAAAAGGCAACTCGCCACGCCTGCAGCGAGGAAATGCACTTCGCCGTGCCTGCAGCGCTGAAAAAAGCAACTCGCCGCGCCTGCAGCGCGGAAGACGCACTTGGCCACGCCTCTCAGCTGGCAGTGCCGAGCCTCTCACCAGGCAGTGCCGAGCCTCTCATGGCGCGCGATCCGCCGCCTACCACGTGGCGCGCGATCCGCCGCCTGGTGATGCCGCTGCCTGGTGGGAGAGGTAGGTAAGTGGGAGAGGTAAGTGCTGATCTGATAGGAACATTTGCCGTCAAATATAAAACAAAGAAAGAAGAACAACATAACAGAAATGATAGGACGAGCAAAGCTGAACACAAAAGGAGGCAGTGAAGCAGGAAGCACCCGCTACGAGTTAAGAAGTCCAAGGCGCCTGGTGAGAGTGTTGAGCGGGAAACGGCGGGAAAAGGCAGGAGGCAGAACATGGAGAGGAGAGGAAGGGCCGGGGAAGAGGGAAACTTTAGCTAAAAATATAATCTCACCGTGTTAATATAAATATAAATCGCATCTAAACAACCGGAGCATCTGCTGGAACGCGGAATAACTCTCACGGGGGCCTAAGCTGCTGCGCCCACCATTCCGTCAGCGGCGTGACATCGGCCATCTGCTGCCGCGGCGCGCCATTCCGCCATCTGCTGCGCGCGCCAATTCGCCTGCTGCTGCGCGCGCCATTCTCCCTGCTGCTGAACGATTTATGACTAAGAGAAACAAAAATAAAAATGCTAAGAGAATGCTACTAAGAGCATTTAGAGGAATGACTATAGAACGCTACTACTAGTGAAACCGTCCAGTGAGAGCGACGCTGGGAGAAGAAGAGCAGTCGAGAGAAAGAGGAGGAGGTTAACAATGGGAGAGTTGAAGCGTTGAAAAACATCTGCTGCTGCGGTGAGAGAAGAAACGCGTCTTTGCACTACAGGACAATATCACGACCGTTCGACGGTGAGGTCCAACCGAGCCACCTCGCGCGCACGCGCTTTCGCTCCGCGCAGCGACCCGTGTGACATGACATCGCATGCTGCAGATTTAACGGACATCTAACGCTATATCTGCAAATGAGAAAAAGCGCGGGGCGAATAAACGAAAGCACCGCGCAGGGAGCAGCGCGAGGCGCGCATGACGACGACAATTTAACGGGCGCGAAGCGTGCAAGGCGCGCGAACAAACACTGGACTGAGACCTTACTAATGCGAATGACACGGCAGCGGATTAGGTGGTTGTGAGCTAACTGAGAAGGGCGAGGCGAGGAATGCGAGAGAATCGAGTTTGGTGCGGAGAGGAGAGGTGGATGAGATTGAAACCCACCCTCCCACAAAATGTTTTGTAACAAGGAGGGCAGAGAGAAACAAAAGGGAAAGCTAACTCCACACCCTAATCTGAAAATGGAAGAGAGTCAACTGAGTGGATCCGATTTACACGTACAAATGTACGGGCGGAATAAAAAACGAAAAAAAAAATGTTGTAAGACGATGCGCGTCACATTCGCCACTCACAGCACAAACGGATGTTCCTATCTGATTGTTACTGTGGTTTGAGGCGCGAGTCGACTTGCAGCCTCCGCAGTTGTGCAGCTACACCTCCAGAGTACTAAGTAATATCTCCTACATGAACATGTTCGCACTTATCAAGTACATTTGAAAAAACAAAAAGGCATTGGCTCATAATAAGGAAATGTTTACAAGATAAGGTTTATAACATATGCACATGGGCTAATTAAATGGATATTATAGGGCCGTATTATTTTCTTTCCTCGTTGAAGCGAAGCGTCTCCATATGTCGTTATAAAACAAACTAACGTCACAGGCAACAAAAAAGGTGCGCGTAATTACTTCAAATATAAGGACGACGATGACAAGTACGGGAACAACAACGAGGACGCGGAGGAGGAGGAGGAGGAGGAGGAGGAGGAGGAGGAGGAGGAGGAGGAGGAGGAGGAGGAGGAGGAGGAGGAGGAGGAGGAGGAGGAGGAGGAGGAGGATGCGGAGAGAGGAGCAGGAGCAGGAGCGGGAGTAGGTGCAGGAGGAGGAGCAGGAGGAGGGGAGGAGGAGGAAACATCAGTGGGAGTACTAGCGGCAAACGGCAGCAGTGCGCAATAGCCTTACCTATCAAGCAGCACTAGGAAACGCTAGCGGCGAACAGTAGCTGTGCGCAACAGCCTCACCATTGAGCAGCAACATAAAATGTTCAGCAGAAGTATGAAACACCACCACGAGCACAAACAACGAACGGTAGTAGTGAGCATCCGCCTCACCATCGAGCAGCAATGGAAAATGTTCAATAGCAGTAGGAAACAACAAGAGTACCACAAGCTTGAACGGTTAGTTTTTGAGAATCTGGCTTGCAATTGAGCAGCAACAGGAAATGTTCAACAGCAGTAGGAAAAAACAGCACGAGCAAAAGAAGGGAACGATAGTAGTGAGCATCCGCCCTCACCATCGAGCAGCAGCTGAAAATGCAGTAGTAGTGAGCATTCGCCTCACCATCGAGTAGCATCACCATCGAGCAGCAACAGAACAGGGGTGACAACGACCAGGAGGGCGACGACAACGAGGCGGAGGAGGACAAGGAGGAGGAGGAGGAGGAGGAGGAGGAGGAGGAGGAGGAGGAGGAGGAGGAGGAGGAGGAGGAGGAGGAGGAGGAGGAGGAGGAGGAGGAGGAAGACGACGAGGACCAGGACGAAGAGCAGGAGCAGGAGCAGGGCAGGAGGAGGAGGAGGAGGAGGAGGAGGAGGAGGAGGAGGAGGAGGAGGAGGAGGAGGAGGAGGAGGAGGAGGAGGAGGAGGAGGAGGAGGACAAGGAGCAGGAGGAGGAGGAGGAGGAGGAGGAGGAGGAGGAGGAGGAGGAGGAGGAGGAGGAGGAGGAGGAGGAGGACAAGGAGGAGGACGAGGAGGAGGAGGAGGGCGACGAGAAAGAAGACGACAACGATGAGGTGGAGGAAGACGAGGAGGAGGAGGAGAACGAGGAGGAGGAGGAAGACGAGGAGGAGGAGGAGGAGGAGGAGGAGGAGGAGGAGGAGGAGGAGGAGGAGGAGGAGGAGGAGGAGGAGGAGGAGGAGGAGGAGGAGGAGAACGAGGAGGACGAGGAGGAGGAGGAGAAGGAGGAGTAGGAGGAGGAAGACGAGAAGGAGGAGGAGGAAGAGGAGGAGGAGGAGGAGGAGGAGGAGGAGGAGGAGGAGGAGGAGGAGGAGGAGGAGGAGGAGGAGGAGGAGGAGGAGGAGGAAACACCAGTATGAGCACAAACAGCAACAGTTGTACTTAGCATCCGCCTCACAATCGAGCAGCAACAAAAAATACTCAGCAGCAGTATGAAACACCATCACGAGCACAAGCAGCAAACGGTAGTAGTGAGCATCCGCCTCACCATCAAGCAACAACAGATAATATCCAGCAGCAGTAGGAAACACCAGCACGAGCACAAGCAGCGAACTGTAGTAGTGAGAAACCACCTCACCATCGAGCAGCAACTGAAGATGTTCAGCAGCCGTAGGAAACACAAGCACGAGCACAAGTAGCGAAAGGTAGTAGTCAGCATCCGCCTCACCATCGAGAAGCAACGGAAAATGTTCAGCAGCAGTAGAAAACACCAGCACGAACACAAGCAGCGAACGATAGTAGTGAGCATCCGCCTCACCATCGAGCACCAGCTGAAAATGCAGTAGTAGTGAGCATTCGCCTCACCATCGAGCAGCAACGGAAAATGCTAAACAAGCACTAGGAAACACCAGCACGAGCAGAAGTAGCGAACGGCAGTAGTGAGCATTCGCCTCACCATCGAGCAGCAACGGAAAATGCTCAGCAGCACTAGGATACACCTAGCACGAGCACAAGGAGCGAACGGCAACAGTGAGCATTCGCCTCACCATCGAGCAGCAATATAAAATGTTCAGCAGTGATAAGAAGCAACCGGACCAGCACAAGCAGCGAATGGTAGTAGTGAGCATCTGCCTCGCCATCGAGCAGCAACAGAACAGGTGTGACAAGGATGGTGAAGGTGACAACGACGAGGAGGAAGAGGGCAGGGAGGAGGAAGACGACGACGAGGAGGACCAGGACGAGGAGCTGGAGCAGGAGCAGGAGCAGGAGCAGGAGCAGGAGGAGAAGGAGGAAGAGGAGGAGGAAGAGGAGGAGGAGGAGGAGGAGGAGGAGGAGGAGGAGGAGGAGGAGGAGGAGGAGGAAGGAGGAGGAAGGAGGAGGAGGAGGAGGAGGAAGAGGAGGAGGAGGACGAGGATGAGGAGGAAGACGAGGAGGAGGAGGAGGAGGAGGAGTAGGAGTAGGAGGAGAAGGAGGAGGAGGAGGAGGAGGAGGAGGAGGAGGAGGAGGAGGAGGAGGAGGAGGAGGAGGAGGAGGAGGAGGAGGAGGAGGAGGGCGACGAGAAAGAAGTCGACGACGATGAGGTGGAGGAAGACGAGGAGGAGGAGGAGAACGAGGAGTAGGAGGAGGAAGACGAGAAGGAGGAGGAGGAAGAGGAGGAGGAGGAGGAGGAGGAGGAGGAGGAGGAGGAGGAGGAGGAGGAGGAGGAGGAGGAGGAGGAGGAGGAGGAGGAGGAAACACCAGTATGAGCACAAACAGCAAACAGTTGTACTTAGCATCCGCCTCACAATCGAGCAGCAACAGAAAATACTCAGCAGCAGTATGAAACACCAGCACGAGCACAAGCAGCGAACTGTAGTAGTGAGAAACCACCTCACCATCGAGCAGCAACTGAAGATGTTCAGCAGCCGTAGAAACACCAGCACGAGCACAAGCAGCGAAAGGTAGTAGTCAGCATCCGCCTCACCATCGAGAAGCAACGGAAAATGTTCAGCAGCAGTAGAAAACACCAGCACGAAAACAAGCAGCGAACGATAGTAGTGAGCATCCGCCTCACCATCGAGCAGCAGCTGAAAATGCAGTAGTAGTGAGCATTCGCCTCACCATCGAGCAGCAACGGAAAATGCTAAACAGCACTAGGAAACACCAGCACGAGCAGAAGTAGCGAAGGGCAGTAGTGAGCATTCGCCTCACCATCGAGCAGCAACGGAAAATGCTCAGCAGCACTAGGATACACCAGCACGAGCACAAGGAGCGAACGGCAACAGTGAGCATTCGCCTCACCATCGAGCAGCAATATAAAATGTTCAGCATCGATAAGAAGCAACCGGACCAGCACAAGCAGCGAATGGTAGTAGTGAGCATCTGCCTCGCCATCGAGCAGCAACAGAACAGGTGTGACAAGGACGGGGAAGGCGACGACGACGAGGAGGAAGAGGGCAGGGAGGAGGAAGACGACGACGAGGAGGACCAGGACGAGGAGCTGGAGCAGGAGCAGGAGCAGGAGGAGAAGGAGGAAGAGGAGGAGGAAGAGGAGGAGGAGGAGGAGGAGGAGGAGGAGGAGGAGGAGGAGGAGGAGGAGGAGGAGGAGGAGGAAAAGGAGGAGGAGGAGGAGGAGGAAGAGGAGGAGGAGGACGAGGATGAGGAGGAAGACGAGGAGGAGGAGGAGGAGGAGGAGGAGGAGGAGTAGGAGTAGGAGGAGAAGGAGGAGGAGGAGGAGGAGGAGGAGGAGGAGGAGGAGGAGGAGGAGGAGGAGGAGGAGGAGGAGGAGGAGGAGGAGGAGGAGGACCACGACGACGACGAGGACCATGACGACAACGACGAGGAGGAGAAGGACGAGGAGGACGAGGAGGATGAGGAGGAGGAGGAGGAGAGGAGGAGGAGGAGGAGGAGGAGTAGGAGGAGGAGGAGGAGGAGGAGGAGGAGGAGGAGGAGGAGGAGGAGGAGGAGGAGGAGGAAACACCAGCATGAGCACAAGCAGCAAATAGTAGTACTGAGCATCCGCCTCACAATCGAGAAGCAACAGAAAACACTCAGCAATAGTATGAAACACCAGTACAAGCACAAGCAGCGAACGGTAGTAGTGAGTAGTCGCTTCACCATCGAGGAGCAACAGGAAATACTTAGTAGCAGTAGGCAACACTAGCACGAGCACAAGCAGCGGACGGTAGTAGTGAACATCCGCCTCACCATCAAGCAGCAACAGAAAGTATTCAGCAGCAGTAGGAAACACCAGCACGAGCACAAGCAGTGAACAGTAGTAGTGTGCATTCGCCTCACCATCGAGCAACAATATAAAATATCCAGCAGTAGTGGAAACACCATCACGAGCACAAGCAGCAAACGGTAGTAGTGAGCATCCGCCTCACCATCAAGCAACAACAGATAATATCCAGCAGCAGTAGGAAACACCAGCACGAGCACAAGCAGCGAACTGTAATAGTGAGAATCCGCCTCACCATCGAGCAGCAACTGAAGATGTTCAGCAGCCGTAGGAAACACCAGCACGAGCACAAGCAGCGAAAGGTAGTAGTCAGCATCCGCCTCACCATCGAGAAGCAACGGAAAATGTTCAGCAGCAGTAGAAAACACCAGCACGAACACAAGCAGCGAAAGATAGTAGTGAGCATCCGCCTAACCATCGAGCAGCAGCTGAAAATGCAGTAGTAGTAGTGAGCATTCGCCTCACCATCGAGCAGCAACGGAAAATGCTAAATAGCACTAGGAAACACCAGCACGAGCAGAAGTAGCGAACAACAGTAGTGAGCATTCGCCTCACCATCGAGCAGCAACGGAAAATGCTCAGCAGCACTAGGATACACCAGCACGAGCACAAGGAGCGAACGGCAGCAGTGAGTATTCGCCTCACCATCGAGCAGCAATATAAAATGTTCAGCAGCGATAAGAAGCAACCGGACCAGCACAAGCAGCGAATGGTAGTAGTGAGCATCTGCCTCGCCATCGAGCAGCAACAGAACAGGTGTGACAAGGACGGGGAAGGCGACGACGACGAGGAGGAGGAGGGCAGGGAGGAGGAAGACGACGACGACGAGGACCAGGACGAGGAGCAGGAGCAGGAGCAGGAGCAGGAGCAGGAGCAGGAGGAGAAGGGAGGGAAGAGGAGGAGGAAGGAGGAGGAGGAGGTGGAGGAGGAGGAGGAGGAGGAGAGGAGGAAGACAAGGAGGAGGAGGAGGAGGAAAAGGAGGAGGAGGAGGAGGAAGAGGAGGAGGAGGAGAGGACGAGGATGAGGAGGAAGACGAGGAGGAGGAGGAGGAGGAGGAGGAGGAGGAGGAGGAGGAGGAGGAGGAGGAGGAGGAGGAGGAGGAGGAGGAGGAGGAGGAGGAGGAGGAGGACCATGACGACGACGAGGAGGAGAAAGACGAGGAGGACGAGGAGGAAGAGGAGGAGGAGGAGGAGGAGGAGGAGGAGGAGGAGGAGGAGGAGGAGGAGGAGGAGGAGGAGGAGGAGGAGGAGGAAGAGGAGGAGGAGGAGGAGGAGGAGGAAAAGGAGGAGGAGGAGGAGGAGGAACTGTACTGTATGGTTTGTCCACTCGCTCAGTTTTTGTTGGCAGAGTGGTTCGGAGCGGCAGTGCGTGGTGCTGGGACGTTGTGTGTGGTCATTTGTGGTGTTGAGTGCCCAGTTAAGTGGTGACGAGCGGTGACGAGTGGTGATGAACGGTGTAGTCTGTCTACGGTGTGACGTTGATGTCCGTCTCCCGCCTCTCGACTACTGCAAACAAGGATGCCTTGAGCATCATGGAAACGGTTGTGAGGACTGTACAACACTGGTGGTTGTGCTTGTCTAGTGATTCTTAACCATTTGTGTCATCCCAACGATCAAGATAGGTTCAACGTGTTTCATTTCTTCGCATAGCATCCTCTTCTATCACTTTACCGTACATTGTGCAAAAATTCTGGAGACAAAGCATTCTGAACTTCAGCAGCAGCACAAACAATGACATCGGCAGCAACAGCAGGGCAGCAGTAGCAAGCAGCAACAGCAGAGCAGCAGCAAGCAGTGACGGCAGCAGCAGTAGCAAGCAGTGACGGCAGCAGCAGGAGCAAGCAAGCATTGACAGCAGCAGCAGGAGCAAGCGAGTAGTGACAGCAGCAGCAGGAGCAAGCAAGCAGTGACGGCAGCAGCAGGAGTAAGCAAGCAGTGACGGCAGCAGCAGGAGCAAGCAAGCAGTGACGGCAGCAGCAGGAGTAAGCAAGCAGTGACAGCAGCAGCAGGAGTAAGCAAGCAGTGACGGCAGCAGCAGGAGCAAGCAAGCAGTGACGGCAGCAGCAGGAGTAAGCAAGCAGTGACGGCAGCAGCAGGAGTAAGCAAGCAGTGACAGCAGCAGCAGGAGTAAGCAAGCAGTGACGGCAGCAGCAGGAGCAAGCAAGCAGTGACGGCAGCAGCAGGAGCAAGCAAGCAGTGACGGCAGCAGCAGGAGTAAGCAAGCAGTGACGGCAGCAGCAGGAGTAAGCAAGCAGTGACGGCAGCAGCAGTAGCAAGCAAGCAGTGTCGGCAGCAGCAGTAGCAAGCAAGCAGTGACGGCAGTAGCAGGAGCAAGCTAGCAGGGTTTAAAGGTGTATAGCGACTGGCCGACTTTCCCACAGTTGTATTGCAAGGGGGAGCTGGTTGGGGGGTGTGATATTGTGCTGCAGATGCACGAGAGTGGGGAGTTGAAAGAGGTGTTTGCAGAGAAAGGGGTGCTGGGAGGGGCGGGGAAGGGAGATGCACCAGGAGCAGTGACGGCAGCAGCAGCAGCGGCGGATGGGCAGGTTGATGGGGCGAAGGGGTTGCAAGAGCGGCTGAAGGCACTCCTCTCGTCTTCGCCTACCATGCTGTTCATGAAGGTATGTTGGAGTAGAGGTGGGTTGGGGCGTATGTGATAATCTGTATCGTCCTGCCTTAGCTAATAAAGATGATTGAAGGCACTCGTCTCGTCTTCGCCTTCCTCTCATCCCTTCCTCTCATCCCTTCCTCTCATCCCTTCCTCTCATCCCTTCCTCTCATCCCTTCCTTCATCCCTTCCTCTCATCCCGTCCTCTCTGCTGCGTTACCTCTCAGGGAACACCGGAGGAGCCGCGGTGTGGGTTCAGCCGCAAGGTGGTGGATGCAGTCCAGTCAGACATGGACTCATCGCATGTTTCCTTCCTTCTTCCCCATGGCTTGTCCTCACGGCCTTGCCTTGCTTTCCCAGGGCACACCAGAGGAGCCGCGGTGTGGGTTCAGCCGCAAGGTGGTGGATGCACTCACGTCAGAAGGTATTTCCTTTGGCAGTTTTGACATTCTCACGGACGAGGCAGTGCGGCAGGGGCTGAACACATGCCTTTACACCCCCCCAACCCCCCTTCCCCTGCCTTCCTGTGCTATGTACCCATGACCATCCCCATCCCTTGTTATTCAGGGAACACCGCAGGAGCCCCGGTGTGGGTTCAGCCGCAAGGTGGTGGATGCAGTCAAGTCAGACATGGACTCATCGCATGTTTCCCCCCCTCTTCCCCCCTTCTTCCCCCCCTCTTCCCCCCTTCTTCCCCCCCTCTTCCCCCCCTCTTCCCCATGGCTTGTCCTCACGGCCTTGCCTGCTTTCCCAGGGCACACCTGAGGAGCCGCGGTGTGGGTTCAGCCGCAAGGTGGTGGATGCACTTACGTCAGAAGGCATTTCCTTTGGCAGTTTTGACATTCTCACGGATGAAGCAGTGAGGCAGGGGCTGAAGGAGCTCTCCAATTGGCCCACGTACCCCCAGGTGTACCACAAGGGCGAGCTGATTGGTGGATGCGATATTGTGCTTGAAATGAAGGCTAATGGGGAGCTTAAAGCCGAGCTTGGAGGGTGAAGTTCACTGTACTGTGTAGCTAAATCATTTTCATATACCCGGTAGCACCAAGGTAGAGCTGATTGGCATCTGTTTTATAACCAAGTAAACAATGTGCCCATCTTTTTGTGTCACTCGCAGTCCGATATGCCACTTTTTCCTCCAAGCTCCAACAGCAACAGATGCTACTACAGCCTGAAAATCATGCTCCAACAACTTCATTTGTTATCCTGCAGCAATGAATTGGCGCAGACGACTCTCAAGGTCAGGTCAAAAGTCAGCTGGTACGGCCAGTCCTACCATTATGCAAACACTCGTCAGAGACACGACAGCTAGAGTCCTGCGAACCAACGCTCACGTAAAGCACAATGCCTAACACAATCGTCCTAAATACGCTTAGCATGTGAGCGTTGCTTTCAAAAAGTTAACTCCCATGACTGTACCCTCCAGCACAGTTGTCGATCGCATACGGATGCCATGGGTGGGGTAGGGTCTAGGGATGGATGGCAAGTTGGCAATGGCCAATGCCGATCACTCATCGAGGTACGGTAGTGTAGGTGCCACTGCTAGCAGACTTGTGCTCCCATCCCATGAGTGCACCCTTTCATGGGCATGCCAAAACGGCCAATGCCATGCCCGCACTCAGTCGTCCAGGTAGTAGTAGGTGCCGGCATTCTTCTGCTCGCGGTCCTTGACAGAATCCATCTTGTTGATGCGCGGCCGAAAGTTGGTGGGGTCGCGCCGGAACGTGATGTCCAGTTGCTGGGGGGGGGAGGGTGGTGGTGGTTGGGGGTGGGAGGAAACGATGGTTGTGAGGGGCACGGTAGCGAGAAGAGGTGAAAACGGGAGGGAGAAAGGGGTTCCATGAGTGCACCCTACAAGCGCACAGCTCCCTTGGGCATGCCGGAAGAGGTTCATGCCGCTGTTGAGCGACTTGAGGAGTGCAAGCCGTGCAATCCACGGACGGCTGCCCCTCGTAGACAATCACGCGGTCCGCCAGGTACGTGGCCATGATGAAGTCGTGCTCCACCACAAAGGGGGGTTCTCACTCACACAGCAAGCAACAAGGGGTCTCTCACCGAGAGGAAGAGGTTCATGCCGCTGTTGAGCGACTGGGGCTCTGTGCGCGCCGTGCAGTCCACCGACGGCTGCCCCTCGTACACGATGACGCGGTCCGCCAGGTACGTGGCCATGATGAAGTCGTGCTCCACCACAAACGCCGTCTTCTTGGCGTGCAGGATGAAGCGCTTGATCACCTTGGCCGCCACAATGCGCTGCTCTGAATCCAAGTAGGCTGAGGGTTCATCAATCAGGTAGATGTCGGCAGGCTGGGAGGAAAGGGGGTGTGGGGGGTTGGAAGTGGAAGTGGAATGTTAAAGGGAGGGGAGGGATGAACGGCTTGATCACTTGGCTGCCACGATGCGCTGCTCCGAATCCAGATAGGCCGAGGGCTCGTCTATGAGGTAGATGTCGGCAGGCTGGGAGGAGAGAGAAGAAGGAACGCATGTGCAGGATGAACGGCTGATGACCTTGACCGTCACGATGCGCTGCTCTTGAGTCGAGATAGGCCGAGGGTTCATCGATCAGATAGATGTCGGCAGGCTGGAGAAAGGAGAAAGTGGAAGAGGGGGAGAAAGGGAAAAAAGGGAAGGATGAACCGCTTGATGACCGTGGCTGCCACAATGCACTGCTCTTGAGTCGAGATAGGCCGATGGATCGTCAATGAGGTAGATGCCACCAAGGCAGAGGGAAATAGCGACGCACCTTCCCAAAGCAGAGGGAAATAGCCACGCACCTTCCCTAGGCAGAGGGAAATAGCCAAGCACCTTCCCAAGGCAGAGGGAAATAGCCACGCACCTTCCCAAGGCAGAGGGAAATAGCCACGCACTTTCCCAAAACAGAGTAATATAGCCACGCACCTTCCCAAGGCAGAGGGGAATAGCCACGCACCTTCCAAGGCAGAGGGAAATAGCCACGCACCTTCCAAGGCAGAGGGAAATAGCCACGCACCTTCCCAAGCGGAGGGAAATAGCCACGCACCTTCCCAAGGCAGAGGGAAATAGCCACGCACCTTCCCAAGGCAGAGGGAAATAGCCACGCACCTTCCCAAGGCATAGCGAAATAGCCACGCACCTTCCCAAAACAGAGGGAAATAGCGACGCACCTTCCCAAGGCAGAGGGAAATAGCCATGCGCTGCAGCTCTCCTCCTGACAAATTCACCACCTCCTGGTCGAGCAGGGGGTCGATCTGCATGAGACAACTTCTGAGCCGCCCCAAAACCGTCCCAAAACCGCCCCAAAACCACCCCAAAACCGCCCCCAAACCACCCCAAAACCGCCCCAAAACCGCCTCAGACCACCTTAAAATCCCAAGAGGGACTTGATGCACCCCCTTCCTTACCTTGCCAAGGCACAGCGTGATGGCCACGCGCTGCAGCTCCCCTCCTGAGATTTTCACCACCTCCTGGTCGAGCAGGGGGTCGATCTGCATGGGGCAACTTCTGAGCCGCCCCAGAACCGCCCCAAACCACCTTGAACCGCCGCAGTCTCCAAGAGAGAGTTGACCAACCCACCCACTCCTTCCTTACCTTTCCCAGACAAAGGGTAATAGCCACGCGCTGCAGCTCCCCACCCGACAAATTCACCACCTCCTGGTCCAGGAGCGGGTCGATCTGCATGGGGCGCAGCACGTCGGTGTTGAACTGCTGGGTGGTGGAACGAGTCTCGGATCTTGGAGTGCAGCAGCGCGCGCACGCTGTGGGGGAACTTGGGGGAGATCTTCTGCGGCTTGTACGACACGTTGAACTCCGGGAGGTCCTCGGCCTCCTTGCCGGTCTCCTCGTCCGGGTCAGCCTTTAAGAGACCAGCCTGTAAGGGGTTGAGAAGGACACAGGAGAGCGGAAAGGAGAGGAACGAGAGGGTATGAGAGGGGGAACTTGCGGCTGATCTTCTGCGGCTTGTACGACACGTTGAACTCCGGGAGGTCCTCAGCTTCTTTCCCGGTCCTCCTCGTCTGGATCTGCCTTCAAGAGGCCGGCCTGGAGGGGTTCAGAACGAGACAGGAGAGGAGAGGGGAGGAGGGAGGAGAGTAACGCAGAAAACTTGGGGCTGGGCTGGTCTTCTGCCGGCCTGTACAACACACTGAAATCCGGGAGATCTTCGGCTTCCTTGCCAGTTGATTCGTCCGGGTCGGCCTTTAACAGACCAGCCTGCGTGATACAAGGGAGAAGGGAGACAAGGCACGGGGATCGAAGTGGAAAGGGAAGAAAAAGGGACGGAGAATGAGAATGGGAAGGGAAACTTGGGGCTGGGCTGGTCTTCTGCGGCCTGTACGACGCGTTGAACTCGGGAAAACCTTGGGCCTCCTTGCCGGTTTCCTCATCTGGGTCCGGCCTTGAGAGAGCCGCCTGGAAGGGAGAGAGGAGGGATGGAAGATGGATCATGGAAGGGACAGGGAGGAGAGAGAGCCAAAGAGACGTGCAAGCTGGCGATATTGGGAGACGCGGAAACGGGAAGGAAACGGGAATTTAGGAGCCAACGACTAGCCCAACCGGTATGCATATGACACAAGAGTCGGCCTATTAGCTCTTCGGAAGCATGTGGCATGGTGCGGGCACATGCAAGTTGGGCTACCGGCCTACCACCAGCCATGCACAGGTGAGAGAGTTGGCCTACCAGCATGCGGATAAAGGTGGTTTCGCCGGTGCCATTCTCCCCCAGCATCACCACGATCTGCGAGTCTGTGCCTTGCGTCCACTGCCATCCCTACCTATGGTGCACACATGTGCCTACCAGCATGCGCACCCATGAGAGACAGCTTCCCTACCAGCATGCGGATAAAGGTGGTCTTGCCGGTGCCGTTCTCCCCCAGCATCACCACGATCTGTGAGTCCGTGAAGTCACCAGGTTCCACCGTCAGCTGAATCCGCCCTGCTTCTTGACCATGCGCGGGTACTTGTAGCGCGTGTACGTCTTGGCCTCTTCAGGGTTATCGACTGGGGTTTCAGCAACCTGAGATGGAATGGAGAGGGGGGGAGGGGAAGGAGGGGCTTGAACCCGCCCTGCTTCTTGACCATGCGCGGGTACTTGTAGCGCGTGTACGTCTTGGCTTCTTCAGGATTATCCACCGGGGTTTCAGCCACCTGATGGGAGCAATGATGGGTTGAGATGGGTCAGAAATAAGGGTAATTTAGCTGCAAAGCTTGAACCCGCCCTGCTTCTTGATCATGCGCGGGTACTTGTACCGCGTGTACGTCTTGGCCTCTTCAGGATTATCCACCGGGGTTTCAGCCACCTGAGATGGAATGAAGGGGGGTGAAAGAATGGAGTGAGGGAGGGGAAGGAGGAGGTTGAACCCGCCGTGCTTCTTGATCATGCCCAAATACCTGTACCGAACCGACTGTACGTCTTGGCCTCCCTCCTCAGGATTATCCACCAGGGGTTTTCGTCCCCTGATGAGAGGGGGAAAGGAGAAGAGGCACGGGCGGAGGAGAGGGAGTGGAGGGGAGGAAAGGAGTGCTTTGAGGAACCTGAGACAGCACACAGAGAGCTTCAACACGCCCTGCTTCTTGATCATGCGTGGGTACTTGTACCAAGTATATGTCTTGGCCTCGTCCGTTTCTTCCAACTCTGAAATGAATGAGCTTTTCGTCTCAAAAATGTGGGTCTGACTTCTGAGTCGACTTTTGTGTCTTAAGTCGGCTCAAAAGATGAAAAAAAAATATGCTCATGCCCTATCTAACGAAGTTGGAAACTGAGGCAAGGAAGAAACATCCATTCACAAAGAGGAGCAACAGACAAGCAGACCCACACGGAAGGTGAGCGACTCGTCTTGAAAACGCAGGTTTCCAGCTGGTATGAAGCCGGCAAGAAAGATGTTCATTCCCTCGAGCACAGAGAAACACAAAATTCCCCTCTTTCAAGTCAACACCTAAAGCAGACTCACCCTGAAGGTGAGCGGCTCGTCTCGGAAGCGCAGGTTCTCGGTCAGAACAAAGCCGGCAAGGAAGATGTTGATGCCCCCTCGCACTGCTGATTGAATTCTAAAGGTGTGCCTGCAATATGAAAATTTTGATGTCCCGACGGACACGGTGACACCCTCACGGCAGACTCACCCTGAATGTGAGCGACTCGTCTCGGAAGCGCAGGTTCTCGGTTGGCACGAAGCCAGCCAGGAAGATGTTGATGCCCTCTCGCACGGAGAAGGGCAGCGTGACCACCCCGTAGGCACCGGGCTTGCCGTAGAGGCAGCAGATGAAGTCCGAGAGATAGTCGAGCACACTGAGATCGTGCTCCACCACAATGACGTATCTGGGGGGGGATGGGGATGATGGAATGGGGAGTGAGTGGGCAGGGCAGTGGGTGCATGGGGTGATAGCGCAGAAAAACCGCCCCTGTATGCCCCTGGCTTGCCGTAGAGGCAGCACATGAAGTGGGAGAGATAGTCGAGCACACTCAGGTCACGCTCCACCACAATCACGTATCTGGAACGGTGGGGGATGCATGGAGGAATGGGGGAATGAAAGGGAGCAAGGGAAAGGGCAGTGGTGTAACAATATCGTACCACTGGTTTCATATTCCTATTCGATGTTCAAGTATTTTAGCACTAATGGATTTGGTTCAAATAGCTTGTTATTCGGTTACATATTGACTCCCTTCGAGGGGTTCAAGAACTTACTAAGGGAGTCAATATGTAACCGAATGACCAGCTATTTGAATCAAATCCAACAGTGTTTAAATACTTGAGCATTGAATAGGAATATGAAACAAATGACCAGCTATGACCAGCTATTTGAATCCCTCTTTCCCTTGCTCTATCCACCAACCATTGATCGCACCTGTTCGGACCACTGACCATACCTGTCGGGGCGCAGCAGCGAGCGGATGACCTGCGCTGCCTTCAATCGCTGCCGCACGTCCAGGTAGCTGGAAGGCTCATCGAAACATGTAGATGTCTCCCAGCTGCCCCGCCACCACTCCAATGGCAAACCGCTGCAGCTCGCCTCCTGACAGATGCTCCACCTCACGCTCCCACACCTGAAAGGAGTGGTGAATCGGGATGAGGATAGGTGATTAGGTGGGGAAGAGGAGAGGGCTCATCGAACATGTAGATGTCTGTCTCCCCAGCTGCCCCCCCACCACTCCAATGGCAAAGCGCTGCAGCTCTCCTCCGGACACGTGCTCCACCTCACGCTCCCACACCTGGACGAGGGAAGGGGAAAAGGGAGGAAGGCGAAGAGGAAGGAATTAGACGGGGGAAGTGCAACCAGATGGGGGTGTGCAAGACTAGCTCGTTGGCCCTCGATGGCAAACCGATCAATGTTTTTTCCCCCTACCGCCTCTTTATGCACCACCCTTCTCTGTGAGCACCACACCCACCACCCCCTTCACGAAGAGCAAACAAGGGGTACTATAACGCAGAGCGTGGACAATAAAGAGAGTGACAATAGCGAGAGGGGAGATGAAACCCCCCCATGACCCCCCCAAGGCCCCCCTAAGGCCCCCCTACCCCCCAATCCTCCTCACAGGCCCCCACCCCGCCCCCCAAAATCCCTGGCATGGGCATGGTCCCCCCCATCCTTGCATGGCATGGTCCCCCCTAACCCTACAGTAACGGGCGGCAGAACAGTAACCCAGCAACAGTAACCAGCAACAGTAACCCCGGCAGCAACAGTGTCTGGGCCAGCAACAGGTCTGGGCCAGCAACAGTCTGCGGCAGCAACATGGGCGGCAGCAACAGTGTCGGGCGGCAGCAACAGTTCTGGGCGGCAGCAACAGTGTCTGGGCGGCAGCAACAGTGTCTGGCGGCAACAACAGTGTCTGGGCGGCAGCGGCAACAGTGTCTGGGCGGCAGCAACAGTGTCTGGATGGCAGCAACAGTGCGGCAGCAACAGTCTGGGCGGCAGCAACAGTAACCGGGCGCGGCAGCAACAGTGTCTGGGCGGCAGCAACAGTGTCTGGGCGGCAGCAACAGTGTCTGGGCGGCAACAACAGTGTCTGGGCGGCAACAACAGTGTCTGGGCGGCAACAACAGTGTCTGGGCGGCAACCAACAGTGTCTGGGCGGCACCAGCAGTGTCTGGGCGGCAGCAACAGTGTCTGGGCGGCAGCAACAGTGTCTGGATGGCAGCAACAGTGTCTGGATGGCAGCAACAGTGTCTGGATGGCAGCAACAGTACCTGGGCGGCAGCAACAGTACCTGGGCGGCAGCAACAGTACCTGGGCGGCAGCAACAGTGTATGGACGGAATCAACAGTGTCTGGGGAGCATCAACAGCATCTGGGCGGTAGCAACAGTGTCTGGGCGGCAGCAACAGTAAGGGGGCGGCTGGAACAGTAACCGGGCGGCAGGCTGCTGGAACAGGGGCCAGGCTGAAACCCCGTGGGCCCGAGCTCCCCACCCCAGGCCCGGCCAAACCAGACCAGGCCAGGGCATGGCTATATAGTAGGCATGCCCATACATACAAGCACACATATCAAGTCCTACAATCCTAGCTACACAGACAGATTCTACCACTGAAATTAGTTAAGCAGTTATCATGCGTGCTAGAACATCATAAGCGTAATAAATGAAGGCATGGCAAGGCTATAGGTTTGTGGCATGAGCAGGGTGTGGTTTGAACGCACGTGCAGAGAGTGAAAGCATGTGGAGGAGGGACGGCAAGGGAGGGGGGGGGGGGGGAGAGATGCCACGAGTGAGGAGTGGCAGCTTCTCACCTGGCTGGCTGTTTTGGGCAATGAGTGAGTGGGGGGAGGGAGCATAGCAAGTGAGTGCGGGGAGCATGGCGAGCAAGCGGGGATGGCAGAGGGGTGAACAGAGGGAACAGAGGGAACAAAAGGTGGGTGAACAGTGGGGAAAAAACCGTGGTCGTGAACAACGGGGGACGGAGAAACAGTGGTGTGAACATTTCGGGACGGGGAAACAATGGCGTGAACAGTGGGGGACGGGGAAACAATGGCATGAACAGTGGGGACGGGGAAACGGTGGTGTGAAAAGTGGGTGAACAGTAAAGGTGAGTGCAGGGGAGCAGAGGTGAGTGCAGGGGAGCAGAGGTGAGTGCAGGGGAGCAGAGGTGAGTGCAGGGGAGCAGAGGTGAGCGCAGGGGAGCAGAGGTGAGCGCAGGGGAGCAGAGGTGAGCGCAGGGGAGCAGAGGTGAGCGCAGGGGAGCAGAGGTGAGCGCAGGGGAGCAGAGGTGACCGCAGGGGAGCAGAGGTGAGCGCAGGGGAGCAGAGATGAGTGCAGGGGAGCAGAGGTGAGCGCAGGGGAGCAGAGGTGAGCGCACGGGGAGCAGAGGTGAGCGCAGGGGAGCAGAGGTGAGCGCAGGGGAGCAGAGGTGAGCGCAGGGGAGCAGAGGTGAGCGCAGGGGAGCAGAGGTGAGCGCAGGGGAGCAGAGATGAGTGCTGGGGAGCAGTGGGGAAAGGTGAATAAAGGGGAGCGGTGGTGGGGGAAGGTGAAGAGTGGTGATAAGTGGGGGGGGATGGTGAGTGTGGGGAGCAGAGGTGGTGAGTGTGGAGGCAATCTCCCTCGCCTCCCTCCCTCTCACCACGCAACGCAACGCAAGCAACGTACCTTGCGCACTGCAACGCAACGCAAGCAACGTACCTTGCGCACTGCAACGCAACGCAAGCAGCGTACCTTGCGCACTGCACTGGCCGAGCCTCATCCAGACCAGAGCCGAGCCGAACCTCGTCCGACGTCGAGGCCAAGTCCGGCAGACCTCAGCCACCTCTGGGGTGGGAGGGTGGAGGGTGAGAGAGGCGGTGATTGGGGGGGAAGAGGAGGCGAGGGGGGATTAAGGAGGTCAGGGGGGGAGGGCATAACGAGTGCACATCTCAAGCGCGTTTACGAGGTGAGTACGTACGGGGGACAGGGGAGGGTGAGAAGAGGGGTGGACAGGAGGTGAGAAGAGAGGACGAGAGGAGGTGAGTACGGGGGACGGACGAGGCGAGGATGAGGGCAGTACAGGAGGTAACGACGCCTCGTTAAACAGTGGGGGGGGGGGGGGGGGGGGATGCCACGACGTGAGGAGTGGCAGCTTCTCACCTGGCTGGATGTTTCGGGCAATGAGTGAGTGGGGGAGGGAGGGAGCATAGCAAGTGAGTGCGGGGAGCATGGCGAGCAAGCGGGGATGGCAGAGGGGTGAACAGAGGGAACAGAGGGAACAAAGGTGGGTGAACAGTGGGGAAAAAACCGTGGTGTGAACAACGGGGGACGGAGAAACAGTGGTGTGAACATTTGGGGACGGGGAAACAATGGCGTGAACAGTGGGGGACGGGGAAACAATGGCGTGAACAGTGGGGGACGGGAAACGGTGGTGTGAAAAGTGGGTGAACAGTAAAGGTGAGTGCAGGGGAGCAGAGGTGAGTGCAGGGGAGCAGAGGTGAGTGCAGGGGAGCAGAGGTGAGTGCAGGGGAGCAGAGGTGAGCGCAGGGAGCAGAGGTGAGCGCAGGGGAGCAGAGGTGAGCGCAGGGAGCAGAGGTGAGCGCAGGGGAGCAGAGGTGAGCGCAGGGGAGCAGAGATGAGTGCTGGGGAGCAGTGGGGAAAGGTGAATAAAGGGGAGCGGTGGTGGGGAAGGTGAAGAGTGGTGATAAGTGGGGGGGGATGGTGAGTGTGGGGAGCAGAGGTGGTGAGTGTGGAGGCAATCTCCCTCGCCTCCCTCCCTCTCACCACGCAACGCAACGCAAGCAACGTACCTTGCGCACTGCAACGCAACGCAAGCAACGTACCTTGCGCACTGCACTGGCCGAGCCTCATCCAGACCAGAGCCGAGCCGAACCTCGTCCGACGTCGAGGCCAAGTCCGGCAGACCTCAGCCACCTCTGGGGTGGGAGGGTGGAGGGTGAGAGAGGCGGTGATTGGGGGGGGAAGAGGAGGCGAGGGGGGATTAAGGAGGTCAGGGGGGGAGGGCATAACGAGGGCACAAAACAAGCGCGTTTAGGAGGTGAGTACGGGGGACAGGGGAGGTGAGAAGAGAGGACGAGAGGAGATGAGTACGGGGGGACGGACGAGGGTGAGGAGAGGGGAGTACAGGAGGTGATGACGCCTCGTCATGGTCTCACCTCGTGCCTCTCTCCTCGCCGCGCCGTTGCCCACCTGCCCCGCCACGTGGCCATCCGTGATTGGCTGAGAGGCGGGCGGCGGCGCCACGGTCATACGTTCTTCGTACAACTGGAGGGGGGGGATGGGGAAGAGGGCACGGAGCTTGGGGGGGCAACTGGAGGGGGGTTCCACCAGCGCGCGACGCGCCGTTTCTCCGCAGGGTTAAGGTTGACCGCGGGAAACGGCGGGAAACCGGCAGAAAAGGGCGGGAATCAGGAAAGAAGCAACACGCCGCGCCTGCAGCGCGGAACGCGCACATTGCGCCACATGCAGCGCGGAACGAGCACATTGCGCCGCCTGCAGCGCGGAACGCGCACATCGCCCCGCCTGCAGCGCGGAACGTGCACATTGCGCCGCCTGCAGCGCGGAACGAGCACATCGCGCCGCCTGCAGCGCGGAACGAGCATATCGCCCCGCCTGCAGCGCGGAACAAGCACATTGCCCCGCCTGCAGCGCGGAACAAGCACATCTCCCCGCCTGCAGCGCGGAACGCGCACATCGCCCCGCCTGCAGCACGGAACGAGCACATCGCCCCGCCTGCAGCGCGGAACGCGCACATCGCCCCGCCTGCAGCGCGGAACGCGCACATCGCCCCGCCTGCAGCGCGGAACGCGCACATCGCCCCGCCTGCAGCGCGGAACGCGCACATTGCGCCGCCTGCAGCGCGGAACGCGCACATCGCCCCGCCTGCAGCGCGGAACGAGCACATTGCGCCGCCTGCAGCGCGGAACGAGCAGGAAACGGAGGGGATCAAGTTGACCGAGGAAGACGGCGGGAAACGGCGGGAAGGAAAACCCTGGGAAACCATGGGCAAGAGCGGGAAGCGGCGGGAAAAGGCTGGAAAAGAAGGGAATCAGCGCGGAAAGGGCACTAAGCCGTGCATGGGGCGCGGAGGAAAAGGCAACTCGCCACGCCTGCAGCGAGGAAATGCACTTCGCCGTGCCTGCAGCGCTGAAAAAAAGCAACTCGCCGCGCCTGCAGCGCGGAAGACGCACTTGGCCACGCCTCTCAGCTGGCAGTGCCGAGCCTCTCACCAGGCAGTGCCGAGCCTCTCATGGCGCGCGATCCGCCGCCTACCACGTGGCGCGCGATCCGCCGCCTGGTGATGCCGCTGCCTGGTGGGAGAGGTAGGTAAGTGGGAGAGGTAAGTGCTGATCTGATAGGAACATTTGCCGTCAAATATAAAACAAAGAAAGAAGAACAACATAACAGAAATGATAGGACGAGCAAAGCTGAACACAAAGGAGGCAGTGAAGCAGGAAGCACCCGCTACGAGTTAAGAAGTCCAAGGCGCCCTGGTGAGAGTGTTGAGCGGGAAACGCGGGAAAAGGCAGGAGGCAGAACATGGAGAGGAGAGGAAGGGCCGGGGAAGAGGGAAACTTTAGCTAAAAATATAATCTCACCGTGTTAATATAAATATAAATCGCATCTAAACAACCGGAGCATCTGCTGGAACGCGGAATAACTCTCACGGGGGCCTAAGCTGCTGCGCCCACCATTCCGTCAGCGGCGCGACATCGGCCATCTGCTGCCGCGGCGCGCCATTCCGCCATCTGCTGCGCGCGCCAATTCGCCTGCTGCCTGCGCGCGCCATTCTCCCTGCTGCTGAACGATTTATGACTAAGAGAAACAAAAATAAAAATGCTAAGAGAATGCTACTAAGAGCATTTAGAGGAATGACTATAGAACGCTACTACTAGTGAAACCGTCCAGTGAGAGCGACGCTGGGAGAAGAAGAGCAGTCGAGAGAAAGAGGAGGAGGTTAACAATGGGAGAGTTGAAGCGTTGAAAAACATCTGCTGCTGCGGTGAGAGAAGAAACGCGTCTTTGCACACAGGACAATATCACGACCGTTCGACGGTGAGGTCCAACCGAGCCACCTCGCGCGCACGCGCTTTCGCTCCGCGCAGCGACCGTGTGACATGACATCGCATGCTGCAGATTTAACGGACATCTAACGCTATATCTGCAAATGAGGAAAAAGCGCGGGGCGAATAAACGAAAGCACCGCGCAGGGAGCAGCGCGAGGCGCGCATGACGACGACAATTTAACGGGCGCGAAGCGTGCAAGGCGCGCGAACAAACACTGGACTGAGACCTTACTAATGCGAATGACACGGCAGCGGATTAGGTGGTGTGAGCTAACTGAGAAGGGCGAGGCGAGGAATGCGAGAGAATCGAGTTTGGTGCGGAGAGGAGAGGTGGATGAGATTGAAACCCACCCTCCCACAAATGTTTTGTAACAAGGAGGGCAGAGAGAAACAAAAGGGAAAGCTAACTCCACACCCTAATCTGGAAAATGGAAGAGAGTCAACTGAGTGGATCCAATTACACGTACAAATGTGACGGGCGGAATAAAAAACGAAAAAAAAAATGTTTGTAAGACGTATGCGCGTCACATTCGCCACTCACAGCACAAACGGATGTTCCTATCTGATTGTTACTGTGGTTTGAGGCGCGAGTCGACTTGCAGCCTCCGCAGTTGTGCAGCTACACCTCCAGAGTACTAAGTAATATCTCCTACATGAACATGTTCGCACCTATCAAGTACATTTGAAAAACAAAAAGGCATGGCTCATAATAAGGAAATGTTTACAAGATAAGGTTTATAACATATGCACATGGGCTAATTAAATGGATATTATAGGGCCGTATTATTTTCTTTCCTCGTTGAAGCGAAGCGTCTCCATATGTCGTTATAAAACGAACTAACGTCACGGGCAACAAAAAAGGTGCGCGTAATTACTTCAAATATAAGGACGACGATGACAAGTACGGGAACAACAACGAGGACGCGGAGGAGGAGGAGGAGGAGGAGGAGGAGGAGGAGGAGGAGGAGGAGGAGGAGGAGGAGGAGGAGGAGGAGGAGGAGGAGGAGGAGGAGGAGGAGGAGGAGGAGGATTCGGAGGAGGAGGAGCAGGAGCAGGAGCGGGAGTAGGTGCAGGAGGAGGAGCAGGAGGAGGGGAGGAGGAGGAAACATCAGTGGGAGTACTAGCGGCAAACGGCAGCAGTGCGCAATAGCCTTACCATCAAGCAGCACTAGGAAACGCTAGCGGCGAACAGTAGCTGTGCGCAACAGCCTCACCATTGAGCAGCAACATAAAATGTTCAGCAGAAGTATGAAACACCACCACGAGCACAAACAACGAACGGTAGTAGTGAGCATCCGCCTCACCATCGAGCAGCAATGGAAAATGTTCAATAGCAGTAGGAAACAACAAGAGTACCACAAGCTTGAACGGTAGTTTTGAGAATCTGGCTTGCAATTGAGCAGCAACAGGAAATGTTCAACAGTAGTAGGAAAAAACAGCACGAGCAAAGAATGAGAACGATAGTAGTGAGCATCCGCCTCACCATCGAGCAGCAGCTGAAAATGCAGTAGTAGTGAGCATTCGCCTCACCATCGAGTAGCATCACCATCGAGCAGCAACAGAACAGGGGTGACAACGACCAGGAGGGCGACGACAACGAGGCGGAGGAGGACAAGGAGGAGGAGGAGGAGGAGGAGGAGGAGGAGGAGGAGGAGGAGGAGGAGGAGGAGGAGGAGGAGGAGGAGGAGGAGGAGGAGGAAGACGACGAGGACCAGGACGAAGAGCAGGAGCAGGAGCAGGGGCAGGAGGAGGAGGAGGAGGAGGAGGAGGAGGAGGAGGAGGAGGAGGAGGAGGAGGAGGAGGAGGAGGAGGAGGAGGAGGAGGAGGAGGAGGAGGAGGACAAGGAGCAGGAGGAGGAGGAGGAGGAGGAGGAGGAGGAGGAGGAGGAGGAGGAGGAGGAGGAGGAGGAGGACAAGGAGGAGGACGAGGAGGAGGAGGAGGGCGACGAGAAAGAAGACGACAACGATGAGGTGGAGGAAGCAGAGGAGGAGGAGGAGAACGAGGAGGAGGAGGAAGACGAGGAAGGAGGAGGAGGAGGAGGAGGAGGAGGAGGAGGAGGAGGAGGAGGAGGAGGAGGAGGAGGAGGAGGAGGAGGAGGAGGAGGAGAACGAGGAGACGAGGAGGAGGAGGAGAAGGAGGAGTAGGAGGAGGAAGACGAGAAGGAGGAGGAGGAAGAGAGGAGGAGGAGGAGGAGGAGGAGGAGGAGGAGGAGGAGGAGGAGGCGGAGGAGGAGGAGAGGAGGAGGAGGAGGAGGAGGAGGAGGAAACACCAGTATGAGCACAAACAGCAAACAGTTGTACTTAGCATTCCGCCTCACAATCGAGCAGCAACAAAAAATACTCAGCCAGCAGTATGAAACACCATCACGAGCACAAGCAGCAAACGGTAGTAGTGAGCATCCGCCTCACCATCAAGCAACAACAGATAATATCCAGCAGCAGTAGGACAACACCAGCACGAGCACAAGCAGCGAACTGTAGTAGTGAGAAACCACCTCACCATCGAGCAGCAAATGAAGATGTTCAGCAGCCGTAGGAAACACCAGCACGAGCACAAGTAGCGAAGGTAGTAGTCCAGCATCCGCCCTCACCATCGAGAAGCAACGGAAAATGTTCAGCAGCAGTAGAAAACACCAGCACGAACACAAGCATGCGAACGATAGTAGTGAGCATCCGCCCTCACCATCGAGCACCAGCTGAAAATGCAGTAGTAGTGAGCATTCGCCTCACCATCGAGCAGCAACGGAAAATGCTAAACAGCACTAGGAAACACCAGCACGAGCAGAAGTAGCGAACGGCAGTAGTGAGCATTCGCCTCACCATCGAGCAGCAACGGAAAATGCTCAGCAGCACTAGGATACACCAGCACGAGCACAAGGAGCGAACGGCAACAGTGAGCATTCGCCCTCACCATCGAGCAGCAATATAAAATGTTCAGCAGTGATAAGAAGCAACCGGACCAGCACAAGCAGCGAATGGTAGTAGTGAGCATCTGCCTCGCCATCGAGCTAGCAACAGAACAGGTGTGACAAGGATGGTGAAGGTGACAACGACGAGGAGGAAGAGGGCAGGGAGGAGGAAGACGACGACGAGGAGGACCAGGACGAGGAGCTGGAGCAGGAGCAGGAGCAGGAGCAGGAGCAGGAGGAGAAGGAGGAAGAGGAGGAGGAAGAGGAGGAGGAGGAGAGGAGGAGGAGGAGGAGGAGGAGGAGGAGGAGGAGGAGGAGGAGGAAAAGGAGGAGGAGGAGGAGGAGGAGGAAGAGGAGGAGGAGGACGAGGATGAGGAGGAAGACGAGGAGGAGGAGGAGGAGGAGTAGGAGTAGGAGGAGGAGGAGGAGGAGGAGGAGGAGGAGGAGGAGGAGGAGGAGGAGGAGGAGGAGGAGGAGGAGGAGGAGGAGGAGGAGGAGGGCGACGAGAAAGAAGTCGACGACGATGAGGTGGAGGAAGACGAGGAGGAGGAGGAGAACGAGGAGTAGGAGGAGGAAGACGAGAAGGAGGAGGAGGAAGAGGAGGAGGAGGAGGAGGAGGAGGAGGAGGAGGAGGAGGAGGAGGAGGAGGAGGAGGAGGAGGAGGAGGAGGAGGAAACACCAGTATGAGCACAAACAGCAAACAGTTGTACTTAGCATCCGCCTCACAATCGAGCAGCAACAGAAAATACTCAGCTAGCAGTATGAAACCACCAGCACGAGCTACAAGCAGCGAACTGTAGTAGTGAGAAACCACCTCACCATCGAGCAGCAACTGAAGATGTTCAAGCAGCCGTAGGAAACACCAGCACGAGCACAAGCAGCGAAAGGTAGTAGTCAGCATCCGCCTCACCATCGAGAAGCAACGGAAAATGTTCAGCAGCAGTAGAAAACACCAGCACGAAAACAAGCAGCGAACGATAGTAGTGAGCATCCGCCTCACCATCGAGCAGCATCTGAAAATGCAGTAGTAGTGAGCATTCGCCCTCACCATCGAGCAGCAACGGAAAATGCTAAACAGCACTAGGAAACACCAGCACGAGCAGAAGTAGCGATAAGGGCAGTAGTGAGCATTCGCCTCACCATCGAGCAGCAACGGAAAATGCTCAGCAGCACTAGGATACACCAGCACGAGCACAAGGAGCGAACGGCAACAGTGAGCATTCGCCTCACCATCGAGCAGCAATATAAAATGTTCAGCATCGATAAGAAGCAACCGGACCAGCACAGCAGCGAATGGTAGTAGTGAGCATCTGCCTCGCCACTCGAGCAGCAACAGAACAGGTGTGACAAGGACGGGGAAGGCTGACGACGACGAGGAGGAAGAGGGCAGGGAGGAGGAAGACGACGACGAGGAGGACCAGGACGAGGAGCTGGAGCAGGAGCAGGAGCAGGAGGAGAAGGAGGAAGAGGAGGAGGAAGAGGAGGAGGAGGAGGAGGAGGAGGATGAGGAGGAGGAGGAGGAGGAGGAGGAGGAGGAGGAGGAAAGGAGGAGGAGGAGGAGGAGGAGGAAGAGGAGGAGGACGAGGAGAGGATGAGGAGGAAGACGACGAGGAGGAGGAGGAGGAGGAGGAGTAGGAGTAGGAGAGAGGAGAAGGAGGAGGAGGAGGAGGAGGAGGAGGAGGAGGAGGAGGAGGAGGAGGAGGAGGAGGAGGAGGAGGAGGAGGAGGAGGAGGAGGAGGAGGACACGACGACGACGACGACCATGACGAACAACGACGAGAGGAGAAGGACGAGGAGGACTAGGAGGATGAGGAGGAGGAGGAGGAGGAGGAGGAGGGGAGGAGGAGGAGGAGGAGGAGGAGGAGGAGGAGGAGGAGGAGGAGGAGGAGGAGGAGGAGGAGGAGGAACACCAGCATGAGCACAAGCCAGCAAATAGTAGTACTGAGCATCTCGCCTCACAATCGAGAAGCAACAGAAAACACTCAGCAACAGTAGGAAAGCACCAGTACAAGCACAAGCAGCGGAACGGTAGTAGTGAGTAGTCGCTTCACCATCGAGGAGCAACAGGAAATACTTAGTAGCAGTAGGCAACACTAGCACGAGCACAAGCAGCGGACGGTAGTAGTGAACATCCGCCTCACCATCAAGCAGCAACAGAAAGTATTCAGCAGCAGTAGGAAACACCAGCACGAGCACAAGCAGTGAACAGTAGTAGTGTGCATTCGCCTCACCATCGAGCAACAATATAAAATATCCAGCAGTAGTGGAAACACCATCACGAGCACAAGCAGCAAACGGTAGTAGTGAGCATCCGCCTCACCATCAAGCAACAACAGATAATATCAGCAGCAAGTAGGAAACACCAGCACGAGCACAAGCAGCGAACTGTAATAGTGAGAATCCGCCTCACCATCGAGCAGCAACTGAAGATGTTCAGCAGCCGTAGGAAACACCAGCACGAGCACAAGCAGCGAAAGGTAGTAGTCAGCATCCGCCCTCACCATCGAGAAGCAACGGAAAATGTCAGCAGCAGTAGAAAACACCAGCACGAACACAAGCAGCGAAAGATAGTAGTGAGCATCCGCCTAACCATCGAGCAGCAGCTGAAAATGCAGTAGTAGTGAGCATTCGCCTCACCATCGAGCAGCAACGGAAAATGCTAAATAGCACTAGGAAACACCAGCACGAGCAGAAGTAGCGAACAACAGTAGTGAGCATCGCCTCACCATCGAGCAGCAACGGAAAATGCTCAGCAGCACTAGGATACACCAGCACGAGCACAAGGTAGCGAACGGCAGCAGTGAGTATTCGCCTCACCATCGAGCAGCAATATAAAATGTTCAGCAGCGATAAGAAGCAACCGGACCAGCACAAGCAGCGAATGGTAGTAGTGAGCATCTGCCTCGCCATCGAGCAGCAACAGAACAGGTGTGACAAGGACGGGGAAGGCGACGACGACGAGGAGGAGGAGGGCAGGGAGGAGGAAGACGACGACGACGAGGACAGGACGAGGAGCAGGAGCAGGAGCAGGAGCAGGAGCAGGAGCAGGGAGAAGGAGGAAGAGGAGAGGAAGAGGAGGAGGAGGAGGAGGCAGGAGGAGGAGGAGGAGGAGGAGGAGGAGGAGGGGAAGGAGGAGGAGGAGGAGGAAGAGGAGGAGGAGGAGGAAAAGGGAGGAGGAAGAGGGAGGAGGAGGAGGAGGAGGAGGAGGAGGAGGAGGAGGAGGATGAGGAGGGAAAAGGAGGAGGAGGAGGAGGAGGAGGAGGAGGAGGAGGAGGAGGAGGAGGAGGAGGAGGAGGAGGAGGAGGAGGAGGAGGACCATGACGACGACGAGGAGGAGAAAGACGAGGAGGACGAGGAGGAAGAGGAGGAGGTAGGAGGAGGAGGAGGAGGAGGAGAGGAGGAGGAGGAGGAGGAGGAGGAGGAGGAGGAGGAGGAGGAAGAGGAGGAGGAGGAGGAGGAGGAAAAGGAGGAGGAGGAGGAGGAGAGGAACTGTACTGTATGGTTTGTGCCACTCGCTCAGTTTTTGTTGGCAGAGTGGTTCGGAGCAGCAGTGCGTGGTGCTGGGCCGTTGTGTGTGGTCATTGGTGGTGTTGAGTGCCATGTGAGTGGTGACGAGCGGTGACGATGTGGTGATGAACGGTGTAGTCTGTCTACGGTGTGACGTTGATGTCCGTCTCCCGCCTCTCGACTACTGCAAACAAGGATGCCTTGAGCATCATGGAAACGGTTGTGAGGACTGTACAACACTGGTGGTTGTGCTTGTCTAGTGATTCTTAACCATTTGTGTCATCCCAACGATCAAGATAGGTTCAACGTGTTTCATTTCTTCGCATAGCATCCTCTTGTATCACTTTACCGTACATTGTGCAAAATTCTGGAGACAAAGCATTCTGAACTTCAGCAGCAGCACAAACAATGACATCGGCAGCAACAGCAGGGCAGCAGTAGCAAGCAGCAACAGCAGAGCAGCAGCAAGCAGTGACGGCAGCAGCAGTAGCAAGCAGTGACGGCAGCAGCAGGAGCAAGCAAGCATTGACAGCAGCAGCAGGAGCAAGCGAGTAGTGACAGCAGCAGCAGGAGCAAGCAAGCAGTGACGGCAGCAGCAGGAGTAAGCAAGCAGTGACGGCAGCAGCAGAGCAGCAAGCAGTGACGGCAGCAGCAGGAGTAAGCAAGCAGTGACAGCAGCAGCAGGAGTAAGCAAGCAGTGACGGCAGCAGCAGGAGCAAGCAAGCAGTGACGGCAGCAGCAGGAGTAAGCAAGCAGTGACGGCAGCAGCAGGAGTAAGCAAGCAGTGACAGCAGCAGCAGGAGTAAGCAAGCAGTGACGGCAGCAGCAGGAGTAAGCAAGCAGTGACGGCAGCAGCAGGAGCAAGCAAGCAGTGACGGCAGCAGCAGGAGCAAGCAAGCAGTGACGGCAGCAGCAGGAGTAAGCAAGCAGTGACGGCAGCAGCAGGAGTAAGCAAGCAGTGACGGCAGCAGCAGGAGTAAGCAAGCAGGCGCGCAGCAGTAGCAAGCAAGCAGTGACGGCAGTAGCAGGAGCAAGCTAGCAGGGTTTAAAGGTGTATAGCGACTGGCCGACTTTCCCGCAGTTGTATTGCAAGGGGGAGCTGGTGGGGGGGTGTGATATTGTGCTGCAGATGCACGAGAGTGGGGAGTTGAAAGAGGTGTTTGCAGAGAAAGGGGTGCTGGGAGGGGCGGGGGAAGGGAGATGCACCAGGAGCAGTGACGGCAGCAGCAGCAGCGGCGGCATGGGCAGGTTGATGGGGCGAAGGTGGTGCAAGAGCGGCTGAAGGCACTCCTCTCGTCTTCGCTACCATGCTGTTCATGAAGTATGTTGGAGTAGAGTGGGTTGGGGCGTATGTGATAATCTGTATCGTCCTGCCTTAGCTAATAAAGATGATTGAAGGCACTCGTCTCGTCTTCGCCTCTCTCCTCTCATCCCTTCCTCTCATCCCTTATCCCTCTAATTCCCTCTCTCATCCCTTCCTATCATCCCGTCCTCTCTGCTGCGTTACCTCTCAGGGAAACACCGGAGGAGCCGCGGTTGTGGGTTCAGCCGCAAGGTGGTGTGATGCATTCCAGTCAGACATGGAACTCATCGCATGTTTCCTTCCTTCTTCCCATGGCTTGTCCTCACGGCCTTGCCCTTGCTTTTCCCAGGGCACACCAGAGGAGCCGCGGTGTGGGTTCAGCCGCAAGGTGGTGGATGCACTCACGTCAGAAGGTATTTCCTTTGCAGTTTGACATTCTCACGGCACGAGGCAGTCGCGGCAGGGGCTGAACACATGCCTTTACACCCCCCCAACCCCCCTTCCCCCTGCCTTCCTGTGCTATGTACCCATGACCATCCCCATCCCCCCTTGTTATTCAGGGAACACCGAAGGAGACCCGGTGTGGGTTCAGCCGCAAGGTGGTGGATGCAGTCGGTCAGACATGGACTCATCGCATGTTTCCCCCCCCTCTTCCCCCCTTCTTCCCCCCCTCTTCCCCCCTTCTTCCCCCCCCTCTTCCCCCCCTCTTCCCCATGGCTTGTCCTCACGGCCTTGCCTTGCTTTCCCCAGGGCACACTGAGGAGCCGCGGTGTGGGTTCTTAGCCGCAAGGTGGTGGATGCACTACGTCAGAAGGCATTCCTTTGGCAGTTTTGACCTTCTCACGGATGAAGCAGTGAGGCAGGGGTCTGAAGGAGCTCTCCAATTGGCCCACGTACCCCCAGGTGTACCACAAGGGCGAGCTGATTGGTGGATGCGATATTGTGCTGAAATGAAGGCTAATGGGGAGCTTAAAGCCGAGCTTGGAGGGTGAAGTTCACTGTACTGTGTAGCTAAATCATTTTCATATACCCGGTAGCACCAAGGTAGAGCTGATTGGCATCTGTTTTTATAACCAAGTAAACAATGTGCCCATCTTTTGTGTCACTCGCAGTCCGATATGCCACTTTTCCTCCAAGCTCCAACAGCAACAGATGCTACTACAGCCTGAAAATCATGCTCCAACAACTTCATTTGTATCCTGCAGCAATGAATTGGCGCAGACGACTCTCAAGGTCAGGTCAAAAGTCAGCTGGTACGGCCAGTCCTACCATTATGCAAACACTCGTCAGAGGACACGACAGCTAGAGTCCTGCGAACCAACGCTCACGTAAAGCACAATGCCTAACACAATCGTCCTAAATACGCTTAGCATGTGAGCGTTGCTTTCAAAAAGTTAACTCCCATGACTGTACCCTCCAGCACAGTTGTCGATCGCATACGGATGCATGGGTGGGGTAGGGTCTAGGGAGGATGGCAAGTTGGCAATGGCCAATGCGAATCACTCACGAGGTACGGTAGTGTAGGTGCCACTGCTAGCAGACTTGTGCTCCCATCCCATGAGTGGCACCCTTTCATGGGCATGCCAAACGGCCAATGCCATGCCGCACTCAGTCGTCCAGGTAGTAGTAGGTGCCGGCATTCTTCTGCTCGCTGGTCTTGACAGAATCCATCTTGTTGATGCGCGGCCGAAAGTTGGTGGGGTCGCGCCGGAACGTGATGTCCAGTTGCTGGGGGGGGGAGGGTGGTGGTGGTTGGGGGTGGGAGGAAACGATGGTTGTGAGGGGCACGGTAGCGAGAAGAGGTGAAAACGGGAGGGAGAAAGGGGTTCCATGAGTGCACCCTACAAGCGCACAGCTCCCTTGGGCATGCCGGAAGAGGTTCATGCCGCTGTTGAGCGACTTGAGGAGTGCAAGCCGTGCAATCCACGGACGGCTGCCCCTCGTAGACAATCACGCGGTCCGCCAGGTACGTGGCCATGATGAAGTCGTGCTCCACCACAAAGGGGGGTTCTCACTCACACAGCAAGCAACAAGGGGTCTCACCGAGAGGAAGAGGTTCATGCCGCTGTTGAGCGACTGGGGCGTGCGCGCCGTGCAGTCCACCGACGGCTGCCCCTCGTACACGATGACGCGGTCCGCCAGGTACGTGGCCATGATGAAGTCGTGCTCCACCACAAACGCCGTCTTCTTGGCGTGCAGGATGAAGCGCTTGATCACCTGGCCGCCACAATGCGCTGCTCTGAATCCAAGTAGGCTGAGGGTTCATCAATCAGGTAGATGTCGGCAGGCTGGGAGGAAAGGGGGTGTGGGGGGTTGGAAGTGGAAGTGGAATGTTAAAGAGAGGGAGGGATGAACGGCTTGATCACCTTGGCTGCCACGATGCGCTGCTCCGAATCCAGATAGGCCGAGGGCTCGTCTATGAGGTAGATGTCGGCAGGCTGGGAGGAGAGAGAAGAAGGAACGCATGTGCAGGATGAACGGCTTGATGACCTTGACCGTCACGATGCGCTGCTCTTGAGTCGAGATAGGCCGAGGGTTCATCGATCAGATAGATGTCGGCAGGCTGGAGAAAGGAGAAAGTGGAAGAGGGGGAGAAAGGGAAAAAAGGGAAGGATGAACCGCTTGATGACCGTGGCTGCCACAATGCACTGCTCTTGAGTCGAGATAGGCCGATGGATCGTCAATGAGGTAGATGCCACCAAGGCAGAGGGAAATAGCGACGCACCTTCCCAAAGCAGAGGGAAATAGCCACGCACCTTCCCTAGGCAGAGGGAAATAGCCAAGCACCTTCCCAAGGCAGAGGGAAATAGCCACGCACTTCCCAAGGCAGAGGGAAATAGCCACGCACTTTCCCAAAACAGAGTAATATAGCCACGCACCTTCCCAAGGCAGAGGGGAATAGCCACGCACCTTCCAAGGCAGAGGGAAATAGCCACGCACCTTCCAAGGCAGAGGGAAATAGCCACGCACCTTCCCAAAGCGGAGGGAAATAGCCACGCACCTTCCCAAGGCAGAGGGAAATAGCCACGCACCTTCCCAAGGCAGAGGGAAATAGCCACGCACCTTCCCAAGGCATAGCGAAATAGCCACGCACCTTCCCAAAACAGAGGGAAATAGCGACGCACCTTCCCAAGGCAGAGGGAAATAGCCACGCGCTGCAGCTCTCCTCCTGACAAATTCACCACCTCCTGGTCGAGCAGGGGGTCGATCTGCATGAGACAACTTCTGAGCCGCCCCAAAACCGTCCCAAACCGCCCCAAAACCACCCCAAAACCGCCCCCAAACCACCCAAAACCGCCCCAAAACCGCCTCAGACCACCTTAAAATCCAAGAGGGACTTGATGCACCCCTTCCTTACCTTGCCAAGGCACAGCGTGATGGCCACGCGCTGCAGCTCCCCTCCTGAGATTTTCACCACCTCCTGGTCGAGCAGGGGGTCGATCTGCATGGGGCAACTTCTGAGCCGCCCCAGAACCGCCCAAAACCACCTTGAACCGCCGCAGTCTCCAAGAGAGAGTTGACCAACCCACCCACTCCTTCCTTACCTTTCCCAGACAAAGGGTAATAGCCACGCGCTGCAGCTCCCCACCCGACAAATTCACCACCTCCTGGTCCAGGAGCGGGTCGATCTGCATGGGGCGCAGCACGTCGGTGTTGAACTGGGGTGGTGGAACGAGTCTCGGATCTTGGAGTGCAGCAGCGCGCGCACGCTGTGGGGGAACTTGGGGGAGATCTTCTGCGGCTTGTACGACACGTTGAACTCCGGGAGGTCCTCGGCCTCCTTGCCGGTCTCCTCGTCCGGGTCAGCCTTTAAGAGACCAGCCTGTAAGGGGTTGAGAAGGACACAGGAGAGCGGAAAGGAGAGGAACGAGAGGGTATGAGAGGGGGAACTTGCGGCTGATCTTCTGCGGCTTGTACGACACGTTGAACTCCGGGAGGTCCTCAGCTTCTTTCCCGGTCTCCTCGTCTGGATCTGCCTTCAAGAGGCCGGCCTGGAGGGGTTCAGAACGAGACAGGAGAGGAGAGGGGAGGAGGGAGGAGAGTAACGCAGAAAACTTGGGGCTGGGCTGGTCTTCTGCGGCCTGTACAACACACTGAAATCCGGGAGATCTTCGGCTTCCTTGCCAGTTGATTCGTCCGGTCGGCCTTTAACAGACCAGCCTGCGTGATACAAGGGAGAAGGGAGACAAGGCACGGGGGGATCGAAGTGGAAAGGGAAGAAAAAGGGACGGAGAATGAGAATGGGAAGGGAAACTTGGGGCTGGGCTGGTCTTCTGCGGCCTGTACGACGCGTTGAACTCGGGAAAACCTTGGGCCTCCTTGCCGGTTTCCTCATCTGGGTCCGGCCTTGAGAGAGCCGCCTGGAAGGGAGAGAGGAGGGATGGAAGATGGATCATGGAGGGACAGGGAGGAGAGAGAGCCAAAGAGACGTGCAAGCTGGCGATATTGGGAGACGCGGAAACGGGAAGGAAACGGGAATTTAGGAGCCAACGACTAGCCCAACCGGTATGCATATGACACAAGAGTCGGCCTATTAGCTCTTCGGAAGCATGTGGCATGGTGCGGGCACATGCAAGTTGGGCTACCGGCCTACCACCAGCCATGCACAGGTGAGAGAGTTGGCCTACCAGCATGCGGATAAAGGTGGTTTCGCCGGTGCCATTCTCCCCCAGCATCACCACGATCTGCGAGTCTGTGCCTTGCGTCCACTGCCATCCCTACCTATGGTGCACACATGTGCCTACCAGCATGCGCACCCATGAGAGACAGCTTCCCTACCAGCATGCGGATAAAGGTGGTCTTGCCGGTGCCGTTCTCCCCAGCATCACCACGATCTGTGAGTCCGTGAAGTCACCAGGTTCCACCGTCAGCTTGAATCCGCCCTGCTTCTTGACCATGCGCGGGTACTTGTAGCGCGTGTACGTCTTGGCCTCTTCAGGGTTATCGACTGGGGTTTCAGCAACCTGAGATGGAATGGAGAGGGGGGGAGGGGAAGGAGGGGCTTGAACCCGCCCTGCTTCTTGACCATGCGCGGGTACTTGTAGCGCGTGTACGTCTTGGCTTCTTCAGGATTATCCACCGGGGTTTCAGCCACCTGATGGGAGCAATGATGGGTTGAGATGGGTCAGAAATAAGGGTAATTTAGCTGCAAAGCTTGAACCCGCCCTGCTTCTTGATCATGCGCGGGTACTTGTACCGCGTGTACGTCTTGGCCTCTTCAGGATTATCCACCGGGGTTTCAGCCACCTGAGATGGAATGAAGGGGGGTGAAAGAATGGAGTGAGGGAGGGGAAGGAGGAGGTTGAACCCGCCGTGCTTCTTGATCATGCCCAAATACCTGTACCGAACCGACTGTACGTCTTGGCCTCCCTCCTCAGGATTATCCACCAGGGTTTTCGTCCCCTGATGGGAGGGGGAAAGGAGAAGAGGCACGGGCGGAGGAGAGGGAGTGGAGGGGAGGAAAGGAGTGCTTTGAGGAACCTGAGACAGCACACAGAGAGCTTCAACACGCCCTGCTTCTTGATCATGCGTGGGTACTTGTACCAAGTATATGTCTTGGCCTCGTCCGTTTCTTCCAACTCTGAAAATGAATGAGCTTTTCTCTCAAAAATGTGGGTCTGACTTCTGAGTCGACTTTTGTGTCTTAAGTCGGCTCAAAAGATGAAAAAAAAATATGCTCATGCCCTATCTAACGAAGTTGGAAACTGAGGCAAGGAAGAAACATCCATTCACAAAGAGGAGCGACAGACAAGCAGACCACACGGAAGGTGAGCGACTCGTCTTGAAAACGCAGGTTTCCAGCTGGTATGAAGCCGGCAAGAAAGATGTTCATTCCCTCGAGCACAGAGAAACACAAAATTCCCCTCTTTCAAGTCAACACCTAAAGCAGACTCACCCTGAAGGTGAGCGGCTCGTCTCGGAAGCGCAGGTTCTCGGTCAGAACAAAGCCGGCAAGGAAGATGTTGATGCCCCCTCGCACTGCTGATTGAATTCTAAAGGTGTGCCTGCAATATGAAAATTTTGATGTCCCGACGGACACGGTGACACCCTCACGGCAGACTCACCTGAATGTGAGCGACTCGTCTCGGAAGCGCAGGTTCTCGGTTGGCACGAAGCCAGCCAGGAAGATGTTGATGCCCTCTCGCACGGAGAAGGGCAGCGTGACCACCCGTAGGCACCGGGCTTGCCGTAGAGGCAGCAGATGAAGTCCGAGAGATAGTCGAGCACACTGAGATCGTGCTCCACCACAATGACGTATCTGGGGGGGGATGGGGATGATGGAATGGGGAGTGAGTGGGCAGGGCAGTGGGTGCATGGGGTGATAGCGCAGAAAAACCGCCCTGTATGCCCCTGGCTTGCCGTAGAGGCAGCACATGAAGTGGGAGAGATAGTCGAGCACACTCAGGTCACGCTCCACCACAATCACGTATCTGGAACGGTGGGGGATGCATGGAGGAATGGGGGAATGAAAGGGAGCAAGGGAAAGGGCAGTGGTGTAACAATATCGTACCACTGGTTTCATATTCCTATTCGATGTTCAAGTATTTTAGCACTAATGGATTTGGTTCAACTAGCTTGTTATTCGGTTACATATTGACTCCCTTCGAGGGGTTCAAGAACTTACTAAGGGAGTCAATATGTAACCGAATGACCAGCTATTTGAATCAAATCCAACAGTGTTTAAATACTTGAACATTGAATAGGAATATGAAACAAATGACCAGCTATGACCAGCTATTTGAATCCCCTTTCCCTTGCTCTATCCACCAACCATTGATCGCACCTGTTCGGACCACTGACCATACCTGTCGGGGGCGCAGCAGCGAGCGGATGACCTGCGCTGCCTTCAATCGCTGCCGCACGTCCAGGTAGCTGGAAGGCTCATCAAACATGTAGATGTCTCCCAGCTGCCCCGCCACCACTCCAATGGCAAACCGCTGCAGCTCGCCTCCTGACAGATGCTCCACCTCACGCTCCCACACCTGAAAGGAGTGGTGAATCGGGATGAGGATAGGTGATTAGGTGGGGAAGAGGAGAGGGCTCATCGAACATGTAGATGTCTCCCAGCTGCACCCCCACCACTCCAATGGCAAAAAGCGCTGCAGCTCTCCTCCGGACACGTGCTCCACCTCACGCTCCCACACCTGGACGAGGGAAGGGGAAAAGGGAGGAAGGCGAAGAGGAAGGAATTAGACGGGGGAAGTGCAACCAGATGGGGGTGTGCAAGACTAGCTCGTTGGCCCTGATGGCAAACCGATCAATGTTTTTCCCCTACCGCCTCTTTCTGCACCCTTCTCTGTGAGCACCACACCCACCACCCCTTCACCGCCTTCCTTCATGCTCCTCCCACGCCAAGCAGCCTAACAGCCCTGCCTCCACTCGCACCTCCTTCCTTGAACCCCCTCTCACCACTCTGAACCCCGTCGCACCTGTTTGAGCTCCAGCACGTCCGACAGCTCCTCCTTGGCATCACGCTCGTCCTTCTCTGTGAGCACCACGCCCACCAACCCCTTCACCGCCTTGGAATGTGATCCACGTACTGTGGCTTGATGATGGCCTGCAGAAAGGGGGGTGCGGGGGGGTGCAGGGAGGGAGGAAAATGAGAACGGGGGGGGTCACGAGATCCATTCTTGGCACCATCAGAAACCCCACGTCTGTCAGCACCACGCCCACCACCCCCTTGACCGCCTTGGGAATGTGGTCCACGTACTGTGGCTTGATGATGGCCTGGGATGTTAGGGGCGGGGAAAGGGGAGCACGGTGGACAGGGCAGCAGCGTTACATTGGTGTCTCAAAGAAACCTTCTCTGTCTGCACCACGCCCACCAGCCCCTTCACCGCCTTGGGAATGTGGTCCACGTACTGTGGCTTGATGATGGCCTGAGGACCAGGGGGAAGAGCAGGGGGAGGGAGAATGGGATGGGACACGCACCAGTGCGTTGGGGAGAAGGGAGAGGAAGCAACGACGGTGCACAACGAGCGACTGATTCGATCACCTTGACCATCAACCCCTTCGGTCGCAGCCCACTCATTTGCACGCAAACCTGCATGCCTCTCTTGCACCACATCCCACCTTGAGTGTTCTCTTTCAATAAGCTAGTGACACAGTTTTGCAGCTCAGCCTGCATCAGACCCAAAACCAGTGTCAGACCCAAACTGCATACCCCTTTGCACTGCACCCCACCCACCTTCAGGTTATCCTCCAGAATGCGAGTGAAGTAGTTCTGAAGCTCCGACCCTCGGAAGTAGGTCAGAATCTCCTGCCAGTCAGGGGGGTTCTGCACGCACAGCAAGCATGGCACACAGGGGCGGAGAAATGTGCGGAATAAGCTGATGGCACATTATACAGCTCCTCCTAACCTCGGAAGTAGGTCAGAATCTCCTGCCAGTCAGGGGATCTGCACACAGAACGGGCAGGGCAGCACATAATGGGGTAGCACATATAGGCGGGGGGAGGATTTGGAGGGGATGAGACAGACAATTACGGCAAACTTGCAGCTAGGGCGGATGCGGTCAAAACATCTTGCCAGTCAGGGGGGTTCTGGGGGAAGGGAGGTACACGCATGGGGGAGGGGAAGACATCGCTATTTTCTGAGGCCTTTCACAGGTAGTCAAGCAGCTCCGACTTTCAAAAGTACATCAAAACCTCCAGACAGTAAGGGGGTTCTATGTGCCAAACGTGGGGTAATTATAAGACTGACAGGGAAGGGGGAGGAAAGACATTTGGGGGGGAGGGAAGGGAGGAGAGACATGTGGGGGGGAGGGAAGGGGGGGGTGGGGGTGTGATGCAAGGGGAGGAGGGAGAAACGGAGTGGGGGGGGAAAAAGGAAGGGGTTCAATTAGGAGCAGCTACGTTGATTGATACGAGAAAGAAAAAAGGGCGAGGATTGAA